GGGAGGGAGGTGGGGAGAGGGGGAGGGAGGTAGAGAGACAGGGGGTGGAAGGGGGGAGGATGGGAGAGGGGTGGATGAGAAGGAGAAAGAGAGGGAAAAAACTTTGCACATACCATATATTGCTATTGATGCCACCAACCTCTCTTGCTTTCACATTTAGTGTAACATGCTCATTGAGAAATTGGCTGAAGTCATTCTGAAATTTTTGCGATTGTGGTATGTGTCTTAAATTTGACAAAGAATAGTATAACACAGATAGCTTGAATTCATCAAGACCAGCCTCAATAGCTTGAGGGATCCATAGTTCGAGGGATATCTCTCTAAGACAAATAAGAAAGAAAAAAATGGGATGGCAGGCACAGTTCGACAGATGCGTGATTTCAAGTTGTCTATATTAAACCTATCCGTGTTCTTCTGTTCATGTAGCCTATAAGAAAACAATTCAGGACCTGAATATCTGTTCACTATGTGCATATTTCGCTATGTGTGTGCTAGACTGATGTTTGTGCTCATATGACCTTATGCAGTTGCGAGCACCGTAAGACTCTTACTAAAAAATAAAAAAAAAGACTGATGTTAGGCTTGATATTTTAAATTCTATCTATCCTCAGAGCTAAATTAGGAGCAGGCCCAAACGGGCACAATGCCCTTGTTCTGGCATTTCGTTACACAGCGCAGGAGGCCCTCCGAGCCGGCATTGTGCACACAGTGACATCAGAGGCACTCCTCATCAAGGAGTCGGCGAGGGTTATCGAAGGACTTCATGTCAAACAGCTTCTTCCCCGAGACAGCTTGGTCAACATGAAAAGGGATGTCTATGAGCTTGTGTTGCAAGACTTGGACACTGATGTTGACAGAGCCATGTCCGTTTTTAAATCTTTGCTTTAGTGTGTTGTGTAATGCTTGGTGCATACAGGGTGATCCCAAAAAAACATTAAAACTTTTTTCGTAAATATTTTCCTCCACACTGAAGCTTTCTTCATCTTCAAATTTGAACACAATATTCCCCATTCCAAAGGAATTTGACTGATATTTATTTTTGATGATTCCACTAAATAATTCTGCAGTATAATGCGCATTAGAAAAACAACCCATTATTTGCTTTTGTCCCCTTTTATTACACTACACAGGAGTACGCATTACCACAAAATGTCGTGAAAAATTCTGGACGGACCTGGGGAGACACAGGCACTAGGATCGCCAAGACCAGTGGTTCATGCAAGATGGGGCCAATCGCCACGTTTCTGTCAGATAAATGACATGGCCAGCTGACCATCTTGGAGATCGTGTGATCAGTCGCAGAAGTGAACACATTTAATTGATTTTGTTTATGTAGTCTTAGTAAGGTTTTATGGCGTTCGCAACTGCATTAGGTCGTATGATTTTGTTTATATGCTAAGGAGATATTTGATTGATTTTGTGAAGGGTAGACCTATGCAGATATTTTGTCCGCAAAGACAATTTTAAAAAACCTAAACAGAAAAACTCTACTTTCAAACACTATTCTGCATTCTAGTCAATGATGCTTTGTTGAATGAGCTGTGATAAAAAGGAAATACATGTATAACCTGCATAATTGATTCGTAACTCAACATAATATTTTGTTTGGCACAATTACTATGCATGTAGAAGACTAGTACCATATAGTTGAATATAATTCTGTATTCCTCAGAGTGATTGGAGGTCGGCCTACTTTATACTTTATGATGCTGTTGTTTTTTTATGTCCATTGCCATCAATTTGGAAATATAATGATGTTTGCGTATTGCATTTTTATTTGAAATACATAATTACGTTTCCATTATATTGACGGCAATGGACCCAAAAATATAATTTCAATAAAAACAAATTTCAAATTTTTTTTCTTTGCACATTTTTTTAACAGCTAGTTGACAATATATATTGAATACTGGGGCAATTTTCACGTCAAATTGAAACTGTTCACGGGCCTGATCTGGCCCATGGAGCCTGAGTTTGCCCATGCCTGTTTTAGTTATTTTAGACTATTGCTTTTGGTCTCTGGTTTTGTCTCGGAAATGGTGAGATTTGTATTTTTCAGCTTACTTGCGGTGGAAACCGTGACAGGGATCTGGTATTTACAGTGATTTAAAAAAAATCCCTGTTTTTTTCCTATTCTTTGTCTCTATTAAAAGTTATCAGCAATAACAGGGCCTCATCGGAGCCTCAGGGACAAAGGCTCGTTAACAATGTGTAAAAAGTAAGATAGAGAGAGAGAGAGAGAGAGAAACGCAGTGATGGAGCAAGCCCATGTAAGCCACGCCACTCTAAGCACACACAGTGGGTGAAGCGAGAGAGGGCTGCAGTGTAGTCTACTACAGATTTCAATCTAGCCCTAACCCAACTAACTACACGAACTCATGGCAAAAAAGCCCTGTTGGCGGATACTTGTGGCAAGGGAAACTACCCATGAATAAATACAGCTGGATTAGTCCACAAATGCCTACTTCCCTTGCATTTCTGATTTAACAGGGATCTGATATATACAGAACTTTTTTTCGGATCCCACCGTCCCTTTTATATCAGGTTTCCACTGTATTTAAAAATTACTTGTGTCGTATCAACATATAATTTTCCGTTCTTTCTCTAAATTATGTGTGACAGAGTTTCTAAACAAATATATGTGAATGTGAGGAGAGATTTTATTTTGCAAGTTTGTGAAATGTTTATTACTAATACATAGCTAGTTGTGGATACAAGCTGTCTATAGCATCAGCAAAGTTGTGACATTATATCTATTTCAGTTTATGTGTTTGAATTTTTTTTTTTAGATAAAATATTTTGGACTAATCAAATCAAATTTTTATTTATATTCTCTTCTAGAGTTTGCAGATACATTTTTGAGATGTGCCATGATGAAAATCATTTTTTAAAGGAAATGTCTAGGGAGACCAGGGATATTATTTACGATGCGCATGAGCCATTCACTGGTTCACACAGGTTCTGGGTTCTCGCATCCGTTTGAATCTCATTCTTTAAAAAAAATAAAATTTTAGGCTCAATTGCAAATGTTCTTCAGCTTCAGGGGGCCCTTGACCTGTACTCTAATGTTCCGCCATTTACGCGTTCGATTGTTGAATGCCAAAACCAGAGCACCGCTTCATTTTTTAAAAAGCTCAATAATTGTTTACACTTTAGATTAACATATATATCTCTTTACAGAAAAAGGGTAGCCTACAAAAGGAGCGTTTTGGTAATTTTGATGCTGGAACCTTTGAATAGGCCTATGGTTTAAGCTTAAATACATTATAGTTATAGTTATACAGTCCTACGATCCTGGTCTCTCTAGCCCCTTCCTTTTTTGGAATGATGGATTGTTGGAAAATGGCAATATTTTTCAATGACTTACACCTTTTAAATGGGAACGGAAATCTCATTCAAAACAGCTGGATTTTTTTTTTCTTTTCTTTTTACTTGACTGTTATAGAAATGCACTTTACCATTCGTAAACGTTAAAGTATCATTTTGATGAATTGATTGAGTTTTACAGCACAGTGGATACTGTGTCTGATGGAGAAGAAATACAACCCTAACAAACAAAACATAAAACTTAAGAGAAATAATTGTACGAAAAGCTCTAAAAAATATAATAAATCGTACATGTTCTTTCTCTTTCTAATTGAAAACGAAATGCTTGAAAGACAGGCTACATGTACAAATTTTAGACTCTTGTTTTGGTCGAACTCATATTTTTCAAGACTGTGATTAAACTTATAAAGAAAAAAAAAGGTAGAAAGATCCAAACATGGTGAAAGAACATCCTATTAATATTCAGTATGGTCGGTAAAGGTAAAGATTACAAGACTGCTATTGTTCCCGACAAAATGATTTGTACAGACTAAACTCTTTGACTTTTCTTACATTCCCCAGTTGAATGCTAACAATAGGTAGGCCTATATAATAATATTGTTATTTTATGTATACATGTACTGGTTTTACTACCTACTGGAGCGCTTGCTTTAAAAAGTTTTTGACCAACGCATGGTTCAAATTACCTTCCAGCTGTTTCAGAGGGTCTGGTTACATTCCAACGAATACAATATGTTGCCTAGAAAAACTTGATGATCTACTCAATGAACAAATGTTGCCATTTTTACTCTATAGAAAAAAATACATGTACATATAATAATATTTATATGTATGTATGTATGTATTATACACAGAATATCGCAATGGACTGTGCTGAGATTTGACATCTGGTTATATAGCCTTACACTATACCTGTTGGTGAATGTAATGTTAATAAAGTTATGTCAAGGGGGTGCAGCGCTCAAACTCAAAGGATTATAAATACCTTGTAGACTGAAACTTTGCATCATATTATTTATATCTTAAAGCTCAAAAGGTATTTGTTCACTCCAGTTGTGGAATTCATTCAGATGTGTTCAAATTCAATCCTCAGGTATCTTATCTCTTATTCCCCCCCCCCCTTAAAAAAAAATTCTTACAGCTCAGCTTTATTGTAGTTTTCTGACACCAAGATTATAGACTGACTCAGCTTTCACTTTCAAATGAGAGCACCATTTTGTTCCTCTGTTCTTAAGTCAGTATGAAGGTACCATGTCTACTAAAAAAAATAATTTATGTATTGCAGTACATTATATATTATTAACATCTTGTGCGTTGTGTTAAAAATGATATATGGGTAGAAGTAGAAGTAAAATAGCCTTCATGAAAGAAGCTTGCACAATTGTACTGGTATAATGTCCCTTGCCACACTGTACGGTTAGTTAAGAGGCGGGACCTCTCAGTACATCCATCTCTGATAGACTGAACCAAATGGGAAAATTCATGTCAAGTACCTTTCCCCAAGGATACAACATCCAACCATGCTGAGCCTCGAACCACCCAACCCCCAATCTCAGGATTTCAAGTCTTTTTCTTTTTAAACTAAGATAAGAATCAAGAATTGAAAGAAACATTTTTGTTAATTTGGATCAAATAATTTTATCTCATATTAAAAACTTCAATGACAGACACGAAGGAAAAACATTTGTTGTAATAGGTGTAACATCAAAGAAAAAGTGAGCTTAATTCATTCGCATGATTTTTTGTTATATCAGTATTGTGTGAGGAAACCCATAGAATCATTTACTGTTACTGTAAATGAGATTATGTGTGATTGAGAGGGCATGGTTTTTATGACCAGTGTTTCATGTACCTGTAGGAGATTAACTCTATTTTATTTGGTTTGCTCGAGTTTATGTGAAAATGACATTATAATAAATTCAATACATGTAATAATTTAAATAATTCCTTTGTATCATTGAGAAGGAATGATATAATATATATTGATAGATATTTATATATATATATGAGTAAGAATTTACATATTTACTTTTATATATAGATCTATGTGATCCCACGCCTGTGTGTGTGTGTAATGCATGAAAAAAAAAAGAAACCAAAAAGTTATGATCAATTTAACCTACGGTACTTTATTGGTTAAGAGTGCTGATCACTTGTTGTGCAATCTTTTTACGGAGTGGCTAGCCGCCCGATCTGGGTATTTTTATTACCATATCTTTTTAAAAGTTAAAATTATAATTTATAAATGATTTATGTTCATTCTTATGGATGCAATGTGTTTTATGAGTAAAAAAATGTGACAATGGATATATGCGCAGTTCATTTTGCTTAAAAAAGAAATTGAAATAAAGTTTTGATTAATCAGTAATTTGTTGATGTTTGAATCTCATGTTTTGTTTGTATATTATATATATTATATTGCTCTTGGTCTGTACAAGAATCACCTGCTACAGCAGTGTATCAATATGCTTTCCTCTAGTCTGGAGAGATAACATTTTCTCAATTTTCTCCCACTTATTTACGTTACGGTATAAAAAAAAAACGTCGAGAAGAATAAATTTGTACTGGATTTTGCCATAAAACTGTTCATTATAGACTACCATTATTAGGAAATATCTTTTGTGAGCAGCAAACACAGACTGCCATGCCGTATGTCCCCTTGGGTACTACTATGGTTATAAGGAATGAACAGACTTACTATGTAGGTGTTGTTGTAAGTCAAAATACAAGGTTTTCAGTGGAAGCAAAAAACTTGTTTCATTTCTCTCAATGATTGTATCAATCTTGATACAAAATATTTTTTTATGCTTTAGTTCTAGTAGTAAGAGTTTTAAGGCACATGCGACACAATACGGTCATTAACAAATGCTGAAGATAAAAGGTTTTACAAGAAAGTAACAATCAATAAAAGAAAAAAGAGATATAACTAATATTTATAAAAGGATGATAAATGTTTAATAGGAAAGAAAGAGCAAACCACACCAACCACCTAATCACAAAATGTTTAATTAGTTTAAATTTGTCACTTTTTCAAAAAGAGAAACGAGTATAGGATCTATCGAAGTGCCTCATCAAACTCTACAAAATTCTTGTTTTCATTTTTTCGAAATTCTGACAAACTACAATGCTGCATGACAGCAACAGTGTATAACCTATATTCTGTCCCTGTCGTTTTATGCAAGAAAAATTCTGAAATTATGCAAATTGAGTCCAAAAATGTGAAATTATGCAATTCTGTTAATTTTAATAAAGAATGATAAAGGAAAATAATCAGAAATAATGCAAAAAATTATCAAATTTTGCTAAATTATGCGGGGTGCGTAAAACCACGGGGACAGTATATTTTTGTTGCCAAATCTTTTCTTCAATACTCACCAAATTTGAGCGGGTGGTCGGCGGGTGCTCTGGTGTGGTTTGCTTCTTCTTTCCTATCACGCATCTATCGTCCTCATCTCCCCCTTCTTCTTTTTCATGTTTGTTACATGTACTCTCTTGTACACCTCTAATCTTCTGGCGCTCATATGACCTTATGCAGTTGAGAGCGCCGTAAAATCTCTTCTAAACTAAAACCAAACTTGAGCTGAAGCACCGATACCAACAACTCAAACCTTTTTTCCTTGATGTCAGGATGAGTAACTGAAGTACAGTCCATGCCGACTTTAAGCACGGTCGTCGGGAGAAAACTTAAGCGTGCTTAAAGCCGAAGCGTGCTTGAGTGCGAAGTAGACATAATCCAGAGATTTTCATGTAGAAAATTTCTCGTGCTATTTCCCTTTGTTTGTAAGTAGGCCTATAGCGGTCCCGCAAAAGTGTGCACTGTTATTTAGACACCCACCATGGTAGTTTTTGTTTGCTTGTTTGTTTTTGTTTTGTGGTCGAATGGGAAATGAAAACTTAATTTAGACGGCCAGTCACACTACAGCACACTAGGCCTACATTACACTGCCTGTGCGTACCACTGCCCGCTGTGCCACTCGTACCACCGCCTTCATCCAACCTCGCGTGTGATACACAATCAGGATTAATGGATAGCGAGGGTCAAAGGTGAAATCGCAGCCAGCCTCCCTTTCTCGTCTCCCCGACTCTCTTTGTATTTTTTTTTTGGTCGTGTGTAGCTTTGCCCTAGGCCTAGGCTAGATCCTATGTCCGCGCGCGCGGCTGTGTGCATCAGCCTTCCTCTCCGCCCGTGTGAGTGTGTGTGTCCATCACTTGCGTTCTTTGTGTTTCTCTTGACACACTCCACTGCTGCGGTGTAGACTGTGTTCGAACTTCGATGGGTCATCATGAAAATATTGACTGTCTTGTAATTGAAGCGTGCTTGAAGCCGAAGTTACCGCGCTTAAAGGCGTGTAATTTATATAGCAAAAATTCGGTAAGAGCCGTTTAGCGTGCTTGAGTCCGAAACGTGCTTAAGACCGGCGTGCTTAAAGTTAAAGCCGGCACGGACTGTAATATAATATCAACCAATGAAGACCTAACTCTTCTAATCAGCCTAGATGTCGAAGAGACTCACTAAAACTCCAAAGACGCCAATAAGACACTTATTTCACATGGGTGTCCATTCACTTAACAATTGTTTGATTTAGATTTAGGCATTCCGGTATAATCATAATGGTTTGTGGTGAAAAAGGCTTTTCAAAGTATTTGTGTAAAATTTGTAAAGTTACGGCTTTGTTTTAGTTTTAGTAAGCATTTTACAAAAACACAAATGGCACGGTACAGTATAATCCACTTATAATATCGACGTCCGATTTATCAACATTTTGACGTATCGACATTAATTTCCAATTACAAAATTTTTCCTTCAATATTCACTAAACAATTTCTCTTATATCGACTTTTTTTTCGGCCCATTCTGCTTTATCGACATGCTTCCTGGGTACCTGGCGAAGCCCACGAACATAAAAGGGGGGAAAAGCCACGCTTACAATCAACGCATTAGTTCTTCATTAAGTCCGCATACCTGCCAATAGTAGCCTATTCGACACACCAGGCTTTATTAGATCATGTGGAGCCTACACAGTGTAGTCTCCAACACAGTACAGTGCCTCACAGACATCACCTCCCTACACTCACTCCTGATCGTTCACTCCCCTTCCCCATCCCATTGTCAGTCTGTTGCTGGCAAGGGCCACGGTCAGTGAGTCAGTGCCTGCTCGCCTTTCCATTTCCCCCAGCAAGCGCCATATACAAGCTTTACAAAAATGCTACAGGACAGTTTGCACTAGTGTGTTATGAGCGCATCGCGCTGTTCTGTCTTTGGTACCACAACTCTCCCCCCCCCCCGCCCTTGTTTAGTTTCAAGAATCAAGGGAAGCAACCAGCTTTGTAATGTTGTTTTTTTACTGCCGACCTCCCCTTGTTTTTTCGTCTTTGGCTTTATATATTTTCATTTATTGACTATAATTTGACATTTGTGAGGCATCGTGGTGGAATCAGGCTCTCGTCAATTTTTGGGCATGTGGAGTTATTGGTATCATCTTAAAGCTTGTTTACTTGTCTTTATTTGGATGAAAAATATCCATTTAACTTGAATACAAGTCGAGATATTTGCGAATGAAGGAGGTGGGGGTCACCTGTTTTCAGAGGTAAAATTAGTGAGAAAATGGCCACCAAAGATTAGTTATTTCCTTAGCTAAAGAGTCTGTGGTAACTGAAAATTTACAATATACATTTTTTTGCCTTTAATCAACGTTTTTCAGAAAAATCCACACAGAAATGAGTTCTTTAATGGGCATGAAAGGTGTTAGCCAAAAAACAAAAACTCAATAAAAAATCACAAACCTGTGGAAAAATGCAAGTTTTGTCACTTTGAATACTTTGATTATTTTGACGAGAGCCTGATTCCACCACGCTGCCTCACATTTTTATACATCGACATCAAATCCATATCCCAAACTATGTCGATATAAGTGGATTATACTGTCCATAGGCATCTAGGGCTGAAGTTAAGAGGTGTTACTAGAGAGCAACATACAAAAAGAAGGAGGAAAGATAACGATGATATACATTTAATAGGAGAGAAGGAGAAAACCACACAGGAGCACCTGTCAACAACCCACTTCAAAAGGGTAAACAAATGGTCTACAAGGAAGTGTCTAGGTAGACCCCAATTAGGGACTATGTAGTTATGGTGTTTTGGTAGTCCCCAATTGGGGAGCATCTAGCCACCAATGCTCCCGTAGACCACACACAATCTATCATCAGGTGTCTCTGTTTTTTTTGGGTTTTTTTTATCAATCAACTAGCTGGACCCCCTTACGATGAAAGGAATGATTGGTGCATACTACACTCTACTGGAATGGAGCAAAAAATCTTGAGAGGTACAAAAAAATAGGTCTAGATTTATACTCTCAAAACAGAAATTGATAATTCTTGCAGTGCTTAATGCGGAAACGTACATGATTAAACATTTTAATTAATGGAGAAAAAGAATGCATCACTTGTGGAACAATTAAAAACAAAAAATTAGATAGAAGAATAATTTGAAGTTATAAATATACATGGGCCATGTGCACTCTTCAACCACCGCTAATGTACCCTGTAAATATTTAAGTCATATGGTTAGGTGGTATTGGAGTTTTAGGCAACCAAAAATTGCCAAGTGGGCCCCCCTACGCCAATATAAAGTGTGTCCACAAAGTCTTGGCATTGCACTGTGGCCTATTTTTTCTCTATTTTATTGTAGTTTCAAAACACAGCAAGTGTTTAGTGTGCATCAGTGGACGTGTTCACGTTGTAACCAAGCACAACAATGGAAAATAAACACACTAAAATAGAGAAAAATAGGTCACAATGCAATGTCAGGACTTTATGGACGCACTATATATAGATTGACGCAGAGAAAAACAAATGAACAAGTTTGCCACCTTCTAAATAAAAGTCCAGAATTGTTACAACACAATAAAACAAGAAAATTACAGTATTTCAGACACATAAAATGACATTCATTATTCTGCAGGACTATACTAGAGTGTAAAGTGGAGGGAACAAGACCGAGAGACACATGATGATAGATTGGGGTCTACGGGAGCCATGGTGGCTAGGTGCTCCCCAATTATTCCTTCCTTTAAAAAATTCAACCAGGGGTCAGAGGTCACAATCCAACATTTTTGGGGAACACCTAACCACCATGACTACGTAGTCCCCAATTGGGTTCTTCCTCGACACTTCCGGTCAACAAAATGAAGACAAACAATACGGGTGTGGTACACATTCCTCAATTCATTCAGAGCAATGAACGGTCACAAATCCATCCGTTACATTCAGTGCATAGAACTTTTAAAAGCAAACACACAAATCAATGCTTACGTTAGCATGCAATAAAACCCATGTTTCACTGTTCATATTCACACATACGGTATTTACACAAGTAAACACAATCATAAACTTGTGATTTAAGAAAACTTCCCTCCATTACTAATTAAGGCATGTCAGTATAGTCAACGCATGGAAAGATAATTATGCGTAAGTGTGTATGTGAGAGGATGCATGTGCGCATGTGAGTGCTTGTGTGTGTGTGAGTGTGTTTGTGTGAGAGGATGCATGTGCGCATGAGAGAGCCTGTGTGTGTGTGTGTGTGAGTGTGTGTGTGTGTGTGTGAGTGTGTGTGTGTGTGTGTGTGTATGTGTGTGTGTGTGTGTGAGTGTGTGTGTGTGCGTGAGTGTGTGTGTGTGTGCGTGTGTGTGTGTGTGTGAGTGTGTGTGAGTGTGTGTGTGTATATGTGTGTGTGTGTGTGTGTGTGTGTGTGTGTGTGTGTGTGTGTGTGTGTGCCTGCCTGCTCACATGTAGTAAACAAGTACACATAAGAAGAAGGTGTTGTTACTGCTATATTTTGTAGGCTGTACACCTATACCCCCCCCCCCCACCCATGTCGAAAGCAGGAGTAGGACTTAATTTTTTTTTTTCGACAGTTCAGTAACCTGTGTTCCTACCCATTAATACAGACTTTGCAGAGAAATAAACTCAATTGTTCAATCAATGAGACATTAAAATTTTTTTGTCCAATCAATAGCAAAAAATTGACAGGTTGTAAAATAATTATAAACAAATTGTAAATTTCTTTCCCTGAACATCTTGAAAAAGCTAGTCATAACAAACACAACAAAGTCAAGAAGAGCTAGTGCCATCCTTTTGCTTTGAAAATGGTTTCCTTTCCTTGTTAGCTTGCCTCTTTTGTTCTCTCTGAAATAAGAAGAATAAACGAAATGATTTAAGGAAAACCTCTACAATAAGAGTAGTGTGAAAAAAGACCACTAGTAGTGGTATAGTATATATGTCAAGTAGGCTACTTGATACCTGGACAAAATGAGATACACAGGTACAACAATTCTTTCATATTAAGTATGGGGCTCTCGAGGCCTAGAGATTAGGTGTTCGCCTCTCATTCCAAGTTCTCGGGTTAGAATCCAGGCAGCGACCGAAACAAATTTTTTCTCTCTAAAATTGCCTCCTTTCACCTCCTTTCCTGCTCTCTTACAACGTACTGTTTTTCTGATTTCGTCTCCGCTTTCTGCCCCCACCTCTGAGCTCTTGATTCTTTCTGCAGCCTTTCTACTGCTTTTCGTTGGCTCCATCTTACTGTCACACCCCTGATTTTCTAATAGGAAAGCTCTACACCTAGCCTTCTCGGACAAGGGCGAAAAACTTCGGAGGTCCCGAGTGCAAGTTGCGCACGTTAAAGATCCCTTGGTAGTCCAAACAAAATCAATAAGAGTAGGCTTCGGCTGCCACCCAGGCAAAATTCCAAATTTCCTACCAACTGAAATGTGTCCCGCGCGCTCATATGACCTTATACAGTTGCGAGCGCCATAAAACACATACAACCTCCCCCCCCCCCCCCCAAAACAACCAAATTAAGTACACTGTATCAAAATGAAAGTACCTCTCCAAAAAAGGGCGACGTTTGGAAAGTTAGTTCCTCAGAATAGTCCAGAAAGTACTCGGAGGTGTGTACTACAAGCAGTTTAGTTACCTTTTGTTCTATGAACTAAGTGTATAATTTACTCCATGGATGAGTCAAGACAAGACTGCATTCCTTTTACAAAGTGAAATAGCCTTTCGACTCTTGCAGGACACAAGTATAATTTGAAATTTGAACAACAAATGTGCGGTGTGCTGATTAAATGAGTTATTTCTCACAATTCATGAATGGTAAGATTCGGCCGAAAATTGACACCGTGTTCAAATTTTTCGATTTTCAACTGATAACTTATATTCTTTAAGTCTTTTATCACTTCATAAAATAAATAAATACAAACTCAACCAAAAAATTTAACGTACAGTGCAGCCTCTCTAAAATGACATTGTCAGGACCAGACAAAAAATGTCGTTATAGAGTCGTTATAGAAAGTTTAAGAAATTCAATCAAAAATTACTAATGATATATATATATATATATATATATATATATATATATATATATATATATATAAAGAAAAAATCGGGACCTGGGCACAATGTCACTATACAGAAGATGTTATATTAAAGATCGTTATTGAGAGGGCTGCAGTGTATTTTTTATCTACAATGTGGGTAGGGAATCTGAGAAGTAACTCATTTTATAAGCACGTGACACGAATCTTATTTCATACACATGCAGGCAATGGTCATACAAAATACAAAAAGTACACGATATTTATTTGTCATCAAATATTCTCCACCTGAAAAAGCCCTGTGAACTCTAAATTGAGTACACGTATTGGGCACATCTGGTAAAGAGGAACTGTAAAAGCTATTTAACAATTTGGGGCAAAAAAAAGAGGCTTGGATCAACAGCAATCTTTTAAAATAATTTTTTCTTTTAAACATAGGTGTTTTACACCTAAATTGACACAATTTAGACCATTTAGATTGTATAAGAGATGACAGGCTGTCAGGGCCAACCCTGGTTGAGAGGGATACAAAATCCTCAGCACAAAATTAGACTGAGACACTTGAAATAAATTATCATAAAAACGATTTTTAGAATGAGTGAAATCGTTGTCAAGTTTTTTTCAGTGCCAGTCAAACAGCCACAGGACACATTGTTCTTCACCCACTACTGAGAATGTCCCAATACTATACTGCAAAAGGGAGACGACCATCAAAATGAAAAAAGTTAGTTACACACAAACAATGATATTTTTAACCTTGATCAAAGCCAGTCATTAAAAATCCTGTTCTCTTAACTAGGCACTACGGTACATTACGTAGACAGGCTGAGAGATCAGAGAGCTGAAGATACACATTATGTTATGTGCACAATGATACCCTGGCCCTGACAATATTATACAATACAAATTTCAAATTCAGACACATACACGAACGAAAGATGGCAGCAGCACAATAATAGCATTACATTGGCTATACTTTCTTTCAAAATTTGGGTGTACATGTATAGGTCTGGAATTAAGGTCTCAATATAATCGTTTTAACATTTTTTGTAAATTAAAATTTGGAAAAATATTTGATGTTTACATGATTTATGCTTGTTTTCAGGTCAATGTACTTTTACCTCTATACATAGCCAACCATACAAAAAAATTAAAAACTATTGCGAAAGTAATTGTCATAAAACCAACAGCTCACTTCTTGTTTTAGACATTTTGTCATTGCCCTGTCAGCTTCATTGCAGGCTCCCAAAAATTTTTTGAAAGGATTCTGTAAAAGAAAGAAAACAAAAACACACATCAATGCCTTAAGAATTAGCAATGGAGAATAAAAACAGGGAACTAAATCTTACGCACATGTGTTTCTAAGTAGATCTGGCACCGTATGGTCACATTAAATTATTGTCTCCCCATAGGTTGGTGATACTAACTCAACTCTCATATACATAGAGAGAGATCTATATGTATGAGTATGAGTAGCAAGAATAAATGACTTATGAAAAGTAAGCGCACTGCATGACCGTTAAATCAACCACAAATCTTTGTGTTCCTTTTCATAACTCAGTGGTGCAGTTGTAACTGTTCGACATGAAAAGTTGTACAATGTAAGGCTTACAGAGAATGCTGTAGAGCACGGAATGCTATCACAAATCAATCATTATAATACTGTAATAATTTTAAAAGGAAATAGTAAAGTAGTAATAATATTTTATATAGTCTGTTATTTGTGTCTCTGATGCAAAATTTGTTGGTCCATGTCACATTGTGCATTTTACTCAACGCTGCATTGAACTTTTAAACTTTGTTATAGTGAAAAAAAAACAACAACCAATCTTGACCAAGATCAGGCACTGATCCGTGTACAGTTGAATCTGTCCATGATATTATGATACAGTCACTATCAAGATCACAGAGAAAAGAGTCCGTTTTACAATGTAAGGGCCTAGTTGGGCACAATGGACAGGGTCTGTTGAGTTTTTTTATATTTCGGTCACTTCTTGACTTGAATTCAACAAATGGTTTAAAATCAGAAATCTTGTTTTTATCATTCCATTTCATTTCCATCAAAACATGTTACATTCATACTCAGATATAATAATAACAGGACAGACGGGACCTTCAGCTTACTATTCGATTACCACTGATTCTTTTCCAGCGGGCTGTTCTGCTGACACTGAGACAGAATCGATCAGTGACCCCAAAACTATTAGGGGGGGGCATTTTTGGCATTTTTCGACACTTTTTAAATTCTTGCTGTGGCATAACCATTTGCTTTTTCGTTTAAATTTTTGGCAAGATATTAGTACAACCACCGATTTATCATTCCCAATAGTGATTATAGATATTGCATCATCAGTATTTAAGAAGTGGTCTAAAATAGCTGATACGCCTGTTTGTGAGAACATAATTATGCCCGTAAAGACACAAGATTGACGATACGCTACATCGTTTGCTAATAGAATATAAGAGAAAAGGGATTGTTTTCTTGATTATTGAATAGGTTTATCAACTCAATATGCCAAAGTGATCTATTTTGGGGAGTGAAAAACAACAGGAAAAAGAAAAAGAAACAGATTTGGGGTCTCCACGATATGAAATGTAAATAACTTACAGAGTTAAGCTTTCTTACTTGTCTTCAAGGTATTATGCAGAATTTTCACAATACAAAGAGTATAAAATTACTAGTATTGCACAGAACCTTTCATTCAGGACTGTGCACCTTCCTTAGACAACAACAATACTGGGACAGAGATAAATACTGAGCATGTTTAAAGAATTTGTGTTATACCTTATAAACGTTTTAGCCCATAATACTCTGTTTATCAATTTTGTTAAGAAAGATTTAAATGATCTGGAAAGGCACTTCAATGCGAAAACACAGTGCAAGTGGTAGCCTGTTATTTGTTATAAGTTGCATGTGGCAAAGTTAAAAGAACATTGTGTGTTCCTCCAGTCTGATGAAAAGTGTACTTGGCTAAAAGGAGTTTTTTATAGGCTGTTCAATGGAACGTCTTTGACTTGATTTTTTGTGGGGCTTAAAGATTAGTTTGGTACAATGGGTTTGTAGGAAATAAATAGTTATTGAATAGTCTATGTTGAGTCTGTTCCCATAATATCACTTCAGTTTATGATTTTATTGCAGCTGAAAGCATCTTCTTTAAGTTTTCTGACTTTGGCTTTTCCGTGGATGCGATTGTTCGGCCTTTGTTTTGTCTCCTCTTCAGTTCAGGCTAGAGTGCAAGTCCTTTTAACTCTAAACTGACCTACAGTAGTGATGTGAGTCAACAGCGGGGAACCTCACAATATGAGCATTAATACGGGTGGGAAGTTTTCCATCTCTTTCTTTGACAGTTGTTGAGCATCATCATCCTCTTTTTTCTACTTCAATAGTTTCAGCTGATGTTGTCTTACAGATGGCGGTGCTCCATTGACTGTCAAGTAATATGTCTGCTGTCCATGAGAACAACTCGTCCCTTTCACAGATTCAGGGCAGTCAGTGCGACCAACAACAAACTCACATTGCAGGTGATGGTCTCCAAGTCAGTAATATTACTGGAACATTTCCTGTGTTTCATTCGCAATAGTGTGATAGCTTCGACCATATTTCTCATAGCTTTCAAATTCATACCTGCCTCAAATCTTGTGCACGCCAAAATGTATTTCAGTTATAGGGCTAAGGAACTCCTTTCCAAAATGTCCTTTGTGGTTAGCTTCTTTATACCTATTGGACTGTGAACCTTTCTGAGCAGTCACTTCAATGGCAGCACCTTCTACCATAAAATTTCCAGGTTGCGTACAACATCTAACAACAGAGTTATTCTCTTCTGGCTTTATCAGTTTTCTACTCACGATGCTATGTGTTTTTTAAGACTACCATGAGCCTGTTTCTTCATGTATAATACAGGAGCAATACACACCTTCCACAAGCAGCAAATATGTCCTTGCATGACACAGAAACCAGGTTTGGAAGACGGGTCTGCATCTAAATCGTCAATATAATCAGAACTTTCTGCAATACCACATCTTTGGGGACTCATGGACCTAATTAAAACTTTTACTAGTAGAAAATATTTTAAAAATAGAATGTTTATAAGCTTACAAATCAGTTAAGATACTATCACTTTATGGGTGCATGAACTTCAAACGCTGAAAGCAAGGATGAAATTCAAAGTACAGGTTCCAAAACAACATGTGTCTACTTTAACTAATGGTAAGGAAGCGTATAAAAGTCCCTCAATGATGCAGCGAGAAAGAATCATCAAGACTACTAAACATGAAATAAGACACATCCCCCTCATTTACAAGTGAAAAAACAAAAGGAAACATCTCATACCATGGCGTATGCAGTCTTATGCTTCAGCATATATTCTCACAAAGGGGCGTAACAAGGCATACGCCTTTATGTGAGATGCAATTTCCTGCTCGACAGCTATAGGGCTAAATGTTTTTTGCTCATAACTCCACCATATCTGAAGCTATCCATACGCTGTTTTGAGAGAACATAGATCTCACTACCCGACATACCATGGTGGTGTTAACTCAAAACAGGTAATTTTGATGATACGCCCTTTTGTGAGATGGGCGACGATTTGATCGATCGAAAGCAAGTTCATGCGCTGCAAAATCACGGTTTCTGAGTGCGCAAATTGAACCTTATAGTCAGGTTACATTTTTATAGAGAAAAAAAAAACAGATTTGATTTATCACTGTTATAGTGGAACTCGGTTTCAACGAGGTCACCGGGCCTGACCTAAAATCTCGTTGAATCCGAATGTTAGTTTTATAGCAATTTATGAGGTTTTGTGTAGATAATTACAGGTACTGGGTAAGTAATGAAAAGAGAAGTAACAAGTGATGCCTGAAATGCCTGCATATTATGAGCTGTGCACAAAAAAAAATAAGATCGATTTGTTCAAATGTAGCCTACTCCTGTCTCATCTCGATTGTATGCCAAAAAGTTATGTTGCTGTCTAGTGAGTCTAGAGCCGGCCTAGAATAATATACGGCAACTTTAGATTCCATAGACCAGCGCAAATTCATTATGTAGATCTATGTCAAGACTAGCTTATTATTGTAATAATGATTAGTTGCCGGGGAGGGGGGGGGGGTGTAGACTGTGACACGTTTGTATCATTCACATGTGTGCAGGCCGCCCATCCAACCCCGACACACGCGTGCAAACAACGCATGTGTTGGTATGAAAAGAAGGCCACTGATTGATCGCAAGCAATCGGCTAAATGAATAGTGGTTTACGATGCTGGTACAATGGATGGTTTCCGGGAATAGATAAAGTTCCTTGTGGGAGAAAAATGAGCGAAGCCACACTGTGGGGGCTGTTCACCCTGGAACTGATCTCGTTGAATCCGAGCTTGCTGAATTAAGTGTTCTTTGAATCCTGGTTATTTTTATTGAATTTTAAAGAAGAAAAAAAAAGGGGAATCCATCTCCTTTTGTTGAATCTGAGTTTTTGTTTTCTTGTTGAATCCGAGCTCATTGAATCCGAGTTCCACTGTATATGTGTCGCGACGCGGTGGAATCAGGCGCTTCTCAATTTTTAGGCATGTGGAGTTATTCCTATCACCTTAATGCTTGTCCATTTGTCTTGCTTTCAGTGAAAAATTTTTTTTCTTGAATACAAGTCGAGATATAAAGGCAATTGAAGGAGGTATGGGGTCACCTGGTTTCAGAGGTAAAAATCAAGAAAATGGCCGTCAAAGATAAGTTATAATATCCTTGGCTTGAGAGTCCATGGATATTTAAAAATGTACTTTTTTGTGCCTTAAATCAAGGTTTTTCCTATAAAATCCATTTCAGAAATGTGTTTTAAAATGGACATAGAAGGTTTTGAGCCAAAAAAAAAAATTAGAAAAATTCCCAAACCTGAGGGAAAAATGCGTTTCCTCATTTTCATTATTTTGACGAGCGTTTGATTTCACTACGTTATTTCACATCCAAGTTCCTGCTGTAATAACAGAGGCTGTTATAAATGGACTGGGCTGTATTTCTATTGAAACAGCTTATATGGGGTGCCCACTACGGATGGGATCGGGCAGATTACGCGACTCTGTCGCCTCAAAAACAATTTACGTGTAAATTGTGTAAATTGTTTGCAGTTTCAGGTGACCGAGTCGAGCGATCGGCCCGATCCAGCCATAGTGGGCACCCTATAATATTAGTATTAGAATGAACCCATCCAGTCTGAGGATGGGTTGGCAGAAAACATTCAAAATGCTCAAGAAACCGCATGGAGCAGGTTTTGAGGCCGGTTTGTACCGAAAATGACCAACTGTGATCTCGAGTGCACTAGTCAAAAGGGCCGCTATGGCTATATGGAATGTTTGGAAATATAATAGGAAAAACAGAAGGCTAGTTGGCAAGGGTGTCACAGGACAGTGGCTGTCAGTCAGAGGCTCACAGCCTACCTACAGCGTGACTGTTTTTATTTTATGGAGAAATGCACTTTTTAAGGCAGGTTCAAGGAAATAGGGCAGAAGGAATTCAATAACAAGCGATCACCCCAACTAACAAGAGACCTAACCCTAACCCAAAGTCAAACCATTTATAACCTATTCATTTCACAAAGGTTGCTTACTGCCAGCCGAGGAAATACTTACGTCTGCATGACATTTATTTAGAGCAGCAATCAGATCGTTACACATGGTCGTATGAAGATGAGGTGACAGGTCTGAATGCATCTTTTACTGTCTCCAGTCCAGCACTCCAGTATCTTTTTTAGTCAGTCTGAACAGAACAGAGTATATATATATATATATATCAGTGGCAGTGTAGTGTAGTGTAAACTGTGAGTTCAAGTTCAAGGCACGGAGATCTACCACTCACATAAAAATTGAGTCACGCTGTGGTATTGTACACAAATCAGCAGTCAGAGTTGTTCAAAGCTTTGGCTTTTTATGTTGAACTAGATAATAACTTAAATCGGCAGAGATCAAGATGTCTGTTAGAAAGTCCGTCATAACTTTTGTAGGACTACGCCACGGCTACAGTTCTGCCATCGTAAGGGAAAACGACGAATGGTCCTGCGCAGGTAGAGAGGCAAATTTTTCAGGAGAGGCAAAAACAGTTTTCACGTTATAACTCCTCTATTTTTCACTCTTTTAAGCAGTAATTCACCAGATATCTGATTGAGGTGTTCATAAAGCAGTTTCTAAAGTTTGAATGGTTTAGGTTAAAAAGTAGCAAAGCAATTCGACATTCATCGTTCTCCCTTACATTGCGCACCCGCAGGTGAACCTTGCGATGTAAGCGAAAACGACGAATGGTACAGTTCGTAGTTCTCCTTTACACTCGTGAACGTTTATGGGCGTAGGCGATGGTCAGTTGTGACGCATTAATGACAGTAATAGCTGTGTACTGGTTACTACAAATAAAAATAAGACACATACAAACTAGCTATTATACGTATAAAGTTAGGTGTTTGTTAGATCCCAACTGTAACTCGCTAAACGTCCTTCTTTTCCCTTCCCCGCTTGGTTAAATACTACACAGTCAGTGTACAAATCAGATGTGCACACATATTCAACAGCTTGATTTAAAACTGTCTCATTCGGAACCAAAGTTTGGTTTCCATGATATCTCTCTATTGTATTCTCTTCAGAAGCGAGTTTTACTTTTATTTTCGCCAATTGCAAAATTTTCCCTGCACGACCAAAGGAATCAACAATGTTACAATGTCAATAATACGATCAGATCATTGCAAAGTCAAACTTTCACGTAAGAAATGTAACAATCTGACAAGACTGTTTCACAAACACTTTCAGGAGAGGCAATGCGACGCTTTGCATTTAATAAAGGATTCAGTTGATCGGATCGGAAAACATACCACAAAGTAGAGATCGACAAGGACAGTTTGAATTTGCAAGACATTATTATGCTTGATCGCAACGTCCGTCAAGTCATAAAAAATCGTAAAGCAAGACTAAGTGTCGCCACAATACGTCCACTTTTTAGGTTGGACTAAGAAATTTACTCTCATTTACGCAGTGTCATTAATTGCTTGGTAATTCTTATAATGATGTCGACCAGTGACACGGGCTAGACAAATTGCGGCACTATAACCATCGTTGGGATTTGGGATGTCAAATGACTGGACAGCAAACTAACATGACGTTAGTCTGTGAACATCTGGCGGACACTAATATGCAGTGCTAATAAATTTCTCCCTGAATACTTTTTTGACCCTCCCATCCCCACCCCTTTCCCCATCCGTTTTCCCCTCTCTCCCGCCTGCTCTTTTCAATTCACACCATCAGCATAGGCCTAATACGTGAAGCCAGACAGAAAGACACACTAAGTGATACATTCTTATAACCCTGGTCGATTCTACTGTGGGGGAGGGGGTGGTGGTGTATTTGTTTGCAAAAAACCTAGTATGTTTGTACTGACGCAACAGTGACCAATTGTCATTCCTCGCCCATGCCTAATTGGCTGAGACCAGGGGACAACGCCGAACGAGCAGTGATCCTTGACCGATCAACCATTCGTCGTTCTCCCTTACACTGAGCTCTGGCTCGGAGCTCGCCAGTGTAAGGGAAAACGACGAACTCTCAATTATGCAACAACGGATTAGGATATGACAAAATTTTTTACTCCATCAGATGCAGAATTAAATACTCTATGAAATATATATATATAAAAATTGAAAAATTTTGACCATTCGTCGTTTTCCCTTACGACGGCAGAGTTAACCTATGTCTCGCTATTCTCACCCCTCGTTATACCAGAAATGACCCTAGAGGGATCAGGGCTGAGGTTACTGGGGCTAATGTTCCACAGGATCATGTTCGTGTCCGAATAGTCACAGTCAGGGTTGTCAATTTGGAACCAAATCCAAGAAATTTGTCTCTTTTGGATCGCGTCTGGCCCGGAGAATTTCATTTGGTTCTCTGGCTCTTTTTTGGCTCCAAACTTCAAATGTTCAAGAAATAGGGGGACAGAAGAGGCAAGAAAAAGTCCTTAGAATTAGAAAGAATAAAAGAAAGAAAATGCAAGTGAAGAAGCTCGGAAATGCTTAAAATTATATAAAATTATTTTAAACTAGTTTAATACACGATTTAACGCCCTCGCCCATTTGGCCTGAATAATTTCCAACCATTCTACCGTCATGCAAGAGCATAAAAAGAGTCTCGTGCATCGTGTCTCGTTACATTCGTACACACGCACTCTGTTCCTTGAACCATTTATATTTATTGTGTGCAGGCTTAAAGAGGCTTGCCATCAATAAGTGTGTAAATAACAAATTATCCAGGCCGGCGACAGGTCCCACATCCCGCGCAGTAGCGTCGGTAGCCAGATATCATGGACATAGATTTAATATATAATTTTTTACCAGAGACGCGAAAAATGTTTTTACATTTATTATATACAGGCTTGTCTATTTGTTGCTAATTTTTAAGATCGAAGTGTATACAGACCCGGTAACCGGGAACAAAGTCACAAAGTATACAGACCCAGTAGGGGAACTCTTTTGTGATTTCGGGAAGTTTCAGACCTCAGACCCGGTAGAAATCTTTTGTGTGTGTGTGTGTGTGTGTGTGTGTGTGAGAGAGAGAGAGAGAGAGAGAGAGAGAGAGAGAGAGAGAGAGAGAGAGAGACTGCTCGATTGAAATTATGACATTGTAACTTGTTCTTTTCTTCGGATTGTGATTCCTCCAATTCCAAAACGGAGGAAAAACCATCGTTCATCGAAACGACATCCGCAATCTTCATTTAGATCTAGGTTAGCGCGAAACTAGATGAAAGATTTATGTCTGTCTGCCTAGATCTAGACCTAGACCATAGATCTAGAAGAACCTAGGTCTACCCTGAGCCAAGAGGGCGCTGAAACTCCGAAATCACAAAAGACAAAAAAAAAAGAGTTCCCCTACCGGGTCTGTATACTTTGTGACTTTGTTCCCGGTTACCGGGTCTGTATACACTCCCTTTTAAGATTTAATTTAGCAAAGATCAGGTATTAATGTTATATTATAAGATGATCATATAAGGATCTCTAGACTAGATCTGGATCTAGATTCTAGATCTAGAGTCTATCCCATATATCCTGACTTTAATTCTGTAAGAGAGCACTCCTCTTCATCTCATGGGACCTGATTGAACGCATGAAGCAGGCCGAACTAGAATCTAGAGTCTAGATCTAGATTAGATCTATTATATTATTTACATTTTAAAAAATATAGATCTAGATTTAGACTTAGAAATCTAGATCTAGACTCTACATCACTGTCGACGTCCCGGGGGTGGGGGGTGAGAATAGCGGGTCGTGAGTTAGGTGACCATTCTAATTCTATGTTATGAAACCAATGAAACAGTAGGCCAGGCCTATCCTATTATAGACAAGACGTCTTGGCATTTAGATCTAATCTAGATCTAGATTCTAGACAGAAAAACAAACCGCTCGCTCACAAGATCGACAATGACAACTGATTCCAAAGATAAAAACTTTAGCGGGTACGCTTTTTCATAGAAAGTTCTCCATAAAACAGATTTTTCAACTGTTTGAGCTGACTGAAGCCGATGCTTGACGTCTCTTTCTATTGTTGATATTATTGAAGGACGACGAAATGTCAGTTACACTTCGAATCCTACCCACGTTTTCTGTTTGTGGGTGAAAAAATGGAAATCTTTTGCGGGCGGTCTTTTCGTTTTTTAATCATACTCGCTGCACCAAAATAAACGTATCGATATTTTTATCCACATAATTACCGACTAAAGAAACGCACACAATGAATTGATTTCACAATTTTACTAACAGTGCATTAAAAAAATCACAATGCTTCGTTTTATTGATCCTGTACAACCTGGTCAACATACCGACCCATGACCCATGTTGCAGATCAGAAGGATCTTAGATGTCGATATATACATTTTTCGATATCTGTATCGCAATTGATGCATTGTTTACATTTTCTTTACTTCTTTTTTGTGTCCGGCCGGCAGTGGCAGTCAGTTAGAGAGGCAGATTTGACTTTCAGTTTGCCGAAAAATTATGTTTACTTGATGGTCAATCAGTGTGTGTATGTTTTATATTGCCATGTCTCCTTTCCACCTTTCTCCATGAATAAATGAAACTGGTTCATCCATAGCCCTAGCAGCATGAACGACCTGATAATTTCTTCTGTTATTACGAAGTGCCACAAATCAACAATTTCTGAAACTCTAAAACGATGGGGAAGACTGGCGGATTCGGAAGTTGATCAGTTACTTCAAAACAGATCTACGAAAGCTGAGATTGCGGAAAAAGTAGCAACATTGTCTGAGGTATGAATGTCTCTACATCAATATCTCTAGATCTAGATCTCTAGATGTAGATCTAGATTATAATCTCTAGAATCGAAGTGGCTAGCCGTACTTAAGTACAGAGCTAGACTGAGAGACTAGCCGTACTTTACGGCTAGACTGCCAGTCTAGCCGTACTTAGATCTAGGTTTGGCCCTCGACTCAAGCCTGTTAAGTACACAGGTCTCATTAGATCTAGATCTAGATTCTAGATCTAGTAATTTTTCAGGTTCAAATATAATCTTACACACTTTTGGGGACTTTCTTTAAAGGCCACCTCTATTCTCACCCGGAGTGAGAATAGTGCAGGCGAGTCTTGTGGCTATTCTCACCCGGTGCGCGTTCACCAAATTTTGCGTTCACCCTAAACCACAGAATTCTACACTGATAACAGAAAAATTGTAGAATTCTGTGCCGTGAAAAAACGTTCCATTACAACTGTAGCCTACTAAAACCGTACAATTTTGTCTGTGGGCAGTGGAGAGAGAGAGAGAAAGAGAGAGAGGAGTAGCGCGAGAATTTCCGGGCAAAACAAAATGGCGACCCGCGTAGTTCGGCTCGATTCGAAAAGTTAAATAGCCGTAGTATCTTTGTAGACAACCAAATTAATTTACTTTTTTGTGTTTTAACATCATTTTTTAACTTTGTTTTGGTCAATTTGATCGTCCACACCGATAGACAGTATTCAGAAAGAGACAGAGAGAGAGAGAAGAGGGGAGGAGTTGATCTTGCGAGAACTTCCGGGCGGGTGAGAATAGCCACTTTCTTCTTTAAACGAAATGTATACAGACCTGGTAGGGAACTCTTAAAATTTTGTGATTTCGGGAAGTTTCAGCGCTCAGACCCGGTAGAAATAGTGTGTGTGTGTGTGTGTGTGTGTGTGTGTGAGAGAGAGAGAGAGAGGTGCTGTCAAAATGTAATGACATGCCCCAGTTGGCAGGAGGGAACGAGAGAAAGATGGAGTGTGAAATAGGTGGGGACAAAGGAAGACAGAGACAAACAAAGGAAAAGAGAAGGCAATCGATACAGAGATAGAGAGAGAAATAGAGAGGTTGACTGCTCGATTGAAATAAATGACATTGTTCTTTTCTTCAAATTGCGACTTGCGATTCCTCCAACTCCAAAACGGAGGAAAAACGATCGTTCATCGAAAAGACATCCGCAATCTTCATATTTTTAGATCTAGATCTCTAAGGCTAGCCGCGAAACTAGATTAAAGATTTATGTCTGTCTGCCTAGATCTAGATATCTAGACCTAGGCCACAGATCTAGAACTAGAAGAACCTAGCTCTACCCTGAGCCAAGAGGGCGCAAAAACTCTCCGAAATCACAAAAGAGTTCCCCTACCTGGTCTACTTTGTGACTTTGTTCCCGGTTACCGGGTCTGTATACAACCCAAATACCACTTTTCTCACATTTGCCTCCAACCCCCACCCACATCAATTTAATATTAGTACTTTTTCCGATCTTCAACTTCCATTATTATTTTAAAGATACCTGTACTAGATCTAGATCTATGTGGCTTTTTTTTACCAGCTTGTAAAAAAATATATTTCAATTTCAGTTAATACAATTTAATCAAACCATATGAACTAGATATTAGAAAGAACACATATATATGTGGAAGACATTGAGACTCTTGTCAATGCATTAATTAGCAATAGGTACACGTGCCTTACAAATAAAACACATCAAGACATTAAAAGATCAACAAAACAGTTGCAAAGTTACAAAGAAACATTAAGAAATTAGATATCCATGTACAGAATTTTCACCATAATTTCAAAATTATTTGTAAACCCCCCCCCCAAAAAAAAAACAACAAGTAGAGGAATTTAAATATTTGGGAAGCATCTTCACACTAGATGGGCGTATGGACAAAGAAAAAGAAACAAGAATTATGAAGGCAAATGCAGTGACCTACCAACTGGCACCCCTTCTCAGTCACAAGAACATCCCAACTGAAGTGAAATCTTAGCTCATCAATAGAATCTTCTCATAACAACATTAACATACCAGTGCCAAACATTGTCTCTAAACAAGGCATGAGAAAGAAAAATCAATGCACGCGAAATTAGGTGTCTCCGCAAAACCACCAACGTCACCAGAGGAGACCGCATAAGGAACGAGACCATACGTCTACCGGTCGTAGAGCGTCAAAGAGTCAAATGGTTCGGACATCTAACCTGAATGTCCCAGAAACAACTAGTGGCTAAAGCTTACAACACCCGCGAATCCGGCTTTAAATCAAGAGGAAGACCAAGAAAGACCTGACTGGATGGGGTTAAAAAGGTCCAGGAACAATATAACTAATTAACATTCTATCACAAATGCCGAAACCTGCACCTCCCCTCGACATCCTAAGGATACCAGAGGAAGGAAAAGGTATAAAAATAAAGTAAGAACTGAGGAGCAAAAGTGCTCACTTTGTTACAACTGGCATCTTTCTTCAGGGTTGTATCGTCAGTGGAAAAGAGTAATAGGCTTACACTGCTAATACCATGAGTCGTGGAAAGATGGCGGCGGTGGCGATTATAAGAGAAAAAGATGACAAGAAGGATAATAGAGAAAATGTGTATGAAGGTGAAGAGCAGGTAATGTGGGATAGAGAAGAAAAAAGAGGTACGGTTGAAAATAGGAGGGGAGTGGGAACACACAAAATCACACACACACACACACACACAAACACACATACACACACAATACATACACATACACACACACCCAGAGAGAGAGAGAGAGCGAGAGGGGGGGGGGGCATGCAGCGGATCCCACATTCCAGTACATAGCATTTTTCGTTCTTGTTCATGCGACAGAAAATAGAGAAAATCTGGATCAGGACTAACAATAGACCTAAGAAACTTTATCAATGAGCAAATAATTGCATCAGATACTTTAATAGTCAATTTAATTTTGACTGTGTTAACAACACGAGTCCGGACTCTTCATACTAGATCTAGGCCCTACGCAATACGCAATGAAAGGCTTTGGCAGGGGTAAAAATGGAGGGAAGAAGGGGGTGAGCTCAGTGAAAAGGAAGTACTTTTTATTCTAAAAAGTCTCGTTTTCTTTATACCATCGAATGAACTAACTAAGGCACAATGTAAGGTCAGTTATTATAAAACATTATAAAAATTGATTCACTTTTTAAACTGAAGTTCAAAAATCTCTAGGCGATGTATTTCCCTGTCTCGTAACATACATTTCAAACAATGAGGAGAGGGAGCCAAAAGCTCAAGGCGAAAATACGTGACGTCATGACTCTGCGCGATGTCGCGGTGGAAGGGTTCAGCTAGGTTTTCGCGGATTTGGTTGATAAAAGGGTAAGACTACACTAGCCAAGGTAAGACTTTTACAATAACCATTTAAACGTTTTCTGGAAGAACAAAGAATGGTTTACCAACAAGGGTAGTTTGAAAAAAATATGACGATAAAATTTATCAAAAATCAATGGTTAAAAATTGTCTATTTTTCAACTTAAAATATCTCGAGACTCATTAGTCGCACATTGATCTGGAAAAAACCGTTTTGAAGGTCATCCAAAGGTCTTTGAAGACATGTATCGGACTTGAATGACTGTTCCGTAAATTAAACAAAAATATGTGCAGTTTGAACCCACTGTCTCAACGAGACGTCATGTCCGGAAACAAAACTCAATGGGACTTTCCGAAGCCAAGTCACGCTATAGTGAGCGCGTTCACTGAAGTGCCTACTTGAACGATGGCCGGCCTCTCTTCCTGCACACAAATAAATTATGGATCAAGGAACAGAGAGCTTGTACGAACGTGGGGTTGTAAATTATTCAGACCTAATGGGTGAAGGCGATAAATCGTGTTAACTAGTTTATTAATCAAGCAATCCAAGCTCTTTTCTTCACTTTCATTGTTTTCTTTCCTTTTCCTCTTGTTTCCCCTTCTTCTTGAACATTTGGAGTTAAGAATTTTAAAAAACCCCATGATCCTGTGGAGCATCAGCCTCGGTAACCTCAGCCCTGATCCCTCTAAGGTCGTTTCCGGTAAAACAAGGTGGTGAGAATAATGAGACATGGTGAGAATGGCCACTTCCATTTGTAATGTCACTTGGTCACCTGTGACTGACTCTTGTTGTTAGTTGGAATTTTAGACTAAGTTTTTAGATAAACTAGATCTTTTTAAATTTTAGTTTTAACTTTGGTTCTAATAATTATTTAAACAGTCAAAACCTGCTTTGACGGCAGTAGCCGTAATGTTTTTGACAGGTTTATTTTGGTGCAAAAGTCTTTAACTTTAAGAATAGGGACTTTTTAGTGCTTTTATTATTTATTATATAAATATGTCAAATGTGCAAAGTTAAAATAAATGCTTTGATAGCCATTAAAAATATATATATATATATATTATATATGTACATCAGTCAAACTTGTGCCACCCATTGTCAAGGAGAAAAGTGGCCATATAAGACAGGTGGCCGTCTTAGGCAGGACTGTGATAGAGATGAAGAAAAACCATTCCCATCTGAGGTCTCAATCAAAAGTAGCCGCATTGTTGTTGTTTTTGTTGTTGTTGTTGTTGGTGGTGGTGGTGGTTTGTATTTTGTTTGTCATTTTGAATTTGCTGATTTTGCACAAGGGTGACGATAAAACTAAATGCATCAGACGAGGAATAGCAAGTGACATGTTATAACAAACACACGGGTCGCCACCACTCGGAGAATGAGCGACGCTTCTGTCACAAGTTCATGTTGACATCCTCTGTCACTTTCTTACAGACTGAGTAAACAGTGACCACTCCTCTCACTTACGATTTGTGTATGAGTTCTGGGCGGGGCTTATAGGTTATGAGGGATCACACACTTACCTCACCAGCAGTTGAAAATTTGTTACCTGTTGGTCAACATTGGGAGGGGCCTAAGCAACATGATCAGTTGGAATGACTACCTAACAACAACGACAGGTGATTGGATTATGACTGCTCGCCCACAATGCCAGGGGCCAATGCACAATTTATGACAAAACGTAATGGAGTCACTATGGTGGCTGTCTAAGACAGGTGTTATTGTTTGGTGTGATAAGGGTTGTGTGGTAAAATATGGTGGCCACGGCCGCGTTGGACAGGTGCCCGTTTTACACAGTTAAGGGGGAAATGGAAAGTGGCCGTTTGTACTGGTGGCCATTTTATAGAGGTGGCCATCAGGGCAGGTTTGACTGCATATATATATATATAAATATGCAAGTTCAAGGAAAACTCCATGTTGCACTAATTTATTTTACGTGGAAAATCTGCTGCGTTTTAGACCCTCATAGAAGACCCCTTTCTTCCTTATCTATGCTGTGAAAGATTCCGTTACACTGTTTTGTCTTCACACAGGAAAATGGTCTACATGCAGATATTGTTGGAGATCTAGAACTGACTTGTAAGTACAAAATAAAAAAGGGTCTGAGTGTTATACCTGATGTATATCATAATTTTTTTCTTGTGAGATTTTATTTATTGCTTAAGTTTGATTTAAACCTTATATGTATAATATATTATATGATTATTTATAGGAATCTCATCCTTTGCTCTTGTGATTGTTTTCATTGCTTGAGTCTGATTTAAGCTATATTGTCATAGAACATATATCTCTATCATAGCGAATTATGAATTCATTTGCAGCATATGTGTCTTAGAATTTAGAAAGCTAAAGATGCATCGTGTTGTCTAGGACTATCCTTTTTGAGAATGAAGGCTTGGCAAAATCCACAAATGGGCATGAAGAAGTCCTCAGTCTTCAGAAGACAGATTGGTATGGATGCCATGTTCTCAGTGTATGGATTGGGATTTATGTATGTTTTGGGAACATCATTGTCTCCCCAATCACAGAGGAATCTGAGATGCTGATTTTGTAAATTAAAAAATCAAAAAATCATAGAACGCGTGATGCAATAGGAATTTCTAATTAATGAGCGGAAGGAATAAGAGAGACAATTAATTTTTTTTCACACTGTAAGCTGTTTTTGTGTTTAGAGTATGTTCACTTTTTATACTAATTTACTGACACATTTCTACACTCTTTTTTGTTAGTGAGAAAGGTCAGTATACCAATAAAGTGTCTTGCACGAGACTATCAATAACAGGGTATTTTTTCCTTTATAGGATGTGTTTTGTCTTGTTGAATGGATGATAATGATAGGCTATTGTTCTTTTCCTTTCAGATATGCAACTGCATTCCAACCGCAAATCATGGAAAGTGTTCAGGTTAGATGGTCAGTATATGCAGTTTTATCTTAATTTGTATATATATATGTAGACAGTACTCAAGTGGGGAAAAAAATATTTTTCTTTTCTTTCGGATCATCCTTTTATTATGCGGTTGTGACAAAATTTTAGAATTTTGTTTGTTTACTAACAGACTTAATAAAATGATAATGGACACATCGTGGTAACTCAAAATTTTACAATGACTCAAAATGATCTAAATTATTGATACTCTTCAAATCTTTTCATTGTATGTTGTTCTTTCTCAGAGCCCGACTTTGAGTTTCAGCCTTTTCGGGGAAAAAATTGTGTTCCAATTTTTTATCATTTCCTCTATATACTGCACAGGTTTTGATTATTTGTGGAAGCTATTGTTGTCAGCAGTATTATATTTTTTATGCTTTTTTCAGATAGGTACTTTGAAGAAATATAGCAGTCTATATGTATGCTATACCATTGTAGTTGTAGCATTCTCCGTTCTTTAAATTTATGTTTCCTGTGTCTAATGAGATAACCAGGCAAAGACAAGTAAACAGAATCATATATATATATACAGTTGTCGATAGTTTTTTTAGCTCGAGCCTGTATTCTCGAAATTTCAGTTTGGGTGGTTTACCTGTCTTAGCTCTTTACATTTTTTGAACCTATGCTGTTGAATCTGTCCATAGGGAGCTCCGATAACGATCTCAACTTAGACCCCCGGACTCTGCGTTCACGACTTGTGAGTGCAGTTGAGATGAACTGGAGAAATGGCCGTGTGGTAAGCTGCTCTGCTTATATCTGTTCAAATTGTGAAATGATAAATATAGAGCAGCCTGCTCTAATGGCCACCTGTATAAGATAATCACCTGTTCAAACAGCTGCTTCCCATTTCATTCCTTGTGTTGTTTTTTTTACATTATAATATAACACTTTGTCAGACATCCACCTGTCTAAGACAGCCGCTGGCACCTTATGCAGTTGCGAGCGCCGTAAAACCTCTACGAAAACTAAACTAAGACAGCCACTTTTCTCATCAACAATGGGTGACCGTCGAAGACAGTTTCAACTTTTTATGTGTGGTGGCATAGGAAAACCAAGGTTTGTTGAAAAAATCATTCTCTGAGATAAGGATATTTTCTGAATCAATTACTTTTGTAGATTATGAGAGATTAAAAATTTTAATGCCTATCAAACATATGTATTGAACTTATCTCTCCTCCTTTTTTTTGGATGTTACTCTCTAATAATACCTCTAATCTTCAGCACTTGTATAACCTGTTTGTTTTGCAAGTGCTGTAAAAACTCCTACTCTTACTAAACACAGCGGATAAAATACCGTCCAGACCGCTCACTTAGTTTTCCTTCCCCAGTTCCTCCCCGACCATCCTCACCACCCTGCCCGCCCCGCCCGACAGCCCAGCGCGTAGTCATAAATCACTTGTCAGAGGGGTTAATTGGGGTGACCGCAGCGTCACTCCTCCTGTGCCGGGGCAGTAGTAAATATGGCGTTTTAGTGCGAATTGAAAGTCTCCTAACTCTGAAACTATAAATGCTACAAGGCCGATTGAGATTTCATTGTAACGTGCTATGTTTGACCTGTAGGCCAGTATAACTTGTTTTCTTGTAAGTCCGATTATATCAGTTTTACAAGGGATTTAAGTAAGTCTGTGATTTTCAAACTGGCATCTTCAATGTTTAGAACTTTTTCAGTTTGGATTTAGATATATCAATCCGGCCCCCAACGATTTAAACAGAAATTCATGTATCAACTGTGGGGACAATTTTCATTTACATGTGCAAGTTTCAAATGCACGAAGTTATTCTATGATTTTCTGTGATTTTTTAAAAATACCAACCCACCACTCTGAACATTCATCCTTGCTGTTTTTAGTTTTCTTGCCTCTACTACATCTGAATTTCGTTGTCAATTTTAACAATATTTTTGTCATGGAGAGCCACACTCAACATAATCATATGGTGGGCATTGTGCTCAAACATCATCGCCTTCTTGAGGAGGCTGCACATGATATAGATGTACAGCTGGCCCATCAATCTATGGAGAATTGCACGCCTGGAATAGGACAAAATGTGCATATCTACGGCAAAAAATGAAAGAGGGCTGGAAAAAAACGAGGACATTCAATTGTTACAGGGCTGTCAGATTTTGTCGGATAATCCACGAGAAGCAGAGAGATTTGAGAGGAAGGGTTCTAGTGTACATGATCAGCTGTCAGAGTTAGAGTTTGGGGAGCTTATTCCAAGGTCAAGTCCTGCCTGCTCTGAATTTGATAACATCCTCAAACAACACAACCTCACACCACAGGCCTACCACAGCCGTTCATTTATAGGAAGCCACTGCCAAAAATACATCACAGCCCATGTGTACAGACAGCTAGCATCATTTTTAGCAAAAGGAACAGTTGCATGTACACGAAATCAAAGCATAATAGACACCGCATTAATTGTTCTGAGAGAGAAATTTGTTCACGTAAAAGACACCTTCAAAGATATCCACACAGTAATTGCACATGGAAAGCCAATCACTTTAGAGAGAATACCACATATTCAGTCATGCATCACACGATATATGTCTTTATACAGAAACATATTTGGCAAATAAAAGGTCTTGAGTCGATAGTGCCGTAAAACACGTGCTACTCAATCAAAATCGATCAAAAGAAAAGGTCATCCCCAAACAACACATCCTTGAGAAACACTGCGTTCCTTGGATACAAAAATGTGGGTTTGGAATGGCCTTCCATTGTGAGCAAGGGAGTGAGCTCATTCATGCAACCGTGGGCCTAACAGACAAAGAAAAACACGTCAAAACAATGATGCAGTCACAACACGTCCAAACCCACCCTGAGCTACTCTGTCGTGTGCACCACCCATCAAAAGACGAAAGCTTACAGCGGAAAAATGAGATAATTCCTCCAGTCCAGCAATATTGTGTTCTTTTTGTATTTTGTGTTTAGGTTGTGTTTTCATAAGTGTATCGGCAAGAAAAGATCTGTTCTGTAGTTACATGTATCGTGGATATCGCTATGAAAAAACAAGGTCGCAAAGCAAGAGTATTGCAAAAATTAACTTCAAACCTGAATAATTACGGATCCAGAAACTTCGTGCATATGCCCCTTTGTCAGTACAAATTTCATTATGTTCTCAGTCCTGTGTGCAAATTTGATTGAATTCGTTGGGGGCAATCATATTTAAATCGATGTTTATAATTGATTACCCATGACACATTTATCAAATTAAGTCCCCTTTTTGAGAACTTCACAGCTTTTAAGTGTAATGTACCATGTTCTTCCGATTTCTTCATTTTCTTCCTTAATATGTTGAATATTTACGTGGTCTTTATTAAAATATTCATCTTACATTAGCTTTGGCTCACTGTGCTGGTAAACTTTGCAAAAAATACAAGAGCGCTGCCGGTGTTCGGCTGATTAGGGAAATCCCCGGCGGCGCAGGTAAATGACCCCCTGACCTGGGGAAGCGCGGGCTTGCTTGCCTCGCGCCAGCCAAAACTAAATGGGCGCTCTATAACCGCTGTGTAAACTAACAAACGAAAAAAGCAGTTTTCATTTTCACTGTTTGACGTATTTTGTTTTTCAGTACGGCAACATGAACATGTTCGCGGGCGCCGTCTGGCTGAGGCTTCACTTTGGCTCGTCTCCCCTCCAACAACAGCAGAAGAAGGGGCCGCGACCTCGGGCGTACAATCCCAACAACTCTGTCTTTCTCGTGGCTTTTCCGAACTCTCCATATGTGATTGTAAATAGGACAGGAATTCGACTGACCAGGATTGTGTCACAGGTCATTAGAACAATTTACACTTATCTTATTCAGGAAGAAAAAATGTATTGGATTTACTGAATGTATTAATTGCACATGTGTGGTATTGTCATATTTACAGGTGACTCCTTTTATCTCTAGTGTGTGATTTCAACTTCATCACTTTTTTTCCTCCAGTAATATTGCAAATACACCATGAAAGTATATACTGAGGCCACTTACAGGTAGCTAAGTTCCCTTGTTTGTTGCCAATAGAACAAGAGATTTTCAGTCACTTTTTTCCCCACTACTTTCATCCTAATACTCACAAAAGCATGATAGATGTGCACTTCTTGTTGTTCTTTATCTAGTGTATATCTCATTTCTACGATTCTTTGGTAAATCTGTGATGTGCTCAGCTAGTTTTCTGTTTGGTTCTGTCTATTGAACTTCAGATGAAAATGTGGCCTAGAGTTAGATTACTGTGTTTGCCTCTCATGCCAAAGGTACTGGCTTTGAACCCAGTTAGTGTTCATAATGAAGCTGTTGTAAACATTTGTATCTTTTTACGAGGTGAAACAACCCCTTATTGAAGAACGTTGTTGTGCCCACAGGCAGTGAAGCAAGTGTTCGGAGCCAGTGGTCTGAAGGACATTCAGCTGAGTGGGCGGCATTTGATGTCTTTGGCTGACATTGTGCACAAGAAAAGCAACGAGGTAAGTGATTGGTTTTTACCTTTGTTCATTTGAGTTTTGTAGGGGACGGGTAAAGTGACGTGGTTCCAAAAAGTGAGAGAGAAAACTACTGTGGAACTCAGATTCAAGGAGCTCGGATTCATCAAGAACTCAGATTCAAAGAAAGGAGATGGATTCCCCATTTTTTTTCTTCTATAAAATCAATGAAAATAACCCAGATTCAACAAACACTTAAATCAGCAAGCTCGGATTCAACCAGTTTGCTTCCAGTGTGAACAGCCCCCGCAGATGTGGCTTCTCTCATTTTTCTCCCACAACGAATTTTATCTAGGCCCCTATTCCCGGAAACCATCCATTGCACTTGCATCGTGAACCATTATTCACTTAACCGATTGCATGTGACCAATCAGCGGCCTTCTTTCATACCAACACATGCGTTGTTGGCACACGCACGTGTCTACTCTGACGTGTGTCGGGGTCGGATGGGTGGCCTACACACGTGTGACTGTGTGTGCATGTCGGAGGGGTTGGGGAGGGGGGGGGTCCCCATCGGTCCGGGCGTGGAACGTTGCGGATACAAACGCGGCATCACAGTCTCTCTTCCCCGGCAACTGAGCATTATTACAATGATAAGCTAGTCTTGACGTAGATCTGCGTAATGAATTGTGCTCTGGTCTATGGAATCAAAAGTTACCGTATGCTAGGCTCTACACAGCAACCCAACTTTTGGCAAACAATTGAGATGACACAGGCGTGCATTTGAACGAATTGGTCTTTTTTTTAGGACAGCTCATAATATGCAGGCATTTCAGGCACCACTTGTTACTTCTCTTTGTACATTATTTTCTAATTATTTGTAATTATCTGCACGAAACCTCATGTTTAATATAACGAACACTCGCATTCAACGTGATTTTAGGTCAGGCCCGGCGACCTCATTGAATCCGAATTTCACTGTATTGTGTTTATCATCTATATATATTAATAATGTTTTATTTCTACAGGGGGGGGGGGAGGTCTCAGGCTGAAGCAAAAAGAAGTATGGTGTCAACTCTCACTTTCTGGATCGATTACAACACTCACTTTCTTTGGGGAGAATGCTGTGTTCGTACAATTGATATTTTACTCTATATATGCAGTTTAATGAGGTCCAAATGAGTGCTTAGGAGTCAATAGAAACTATATGTAGAGGTTAATGTTTTGTGTCCAATTCACTACAGTACTGTTTTCCCCTCAGAGGACTAACATGGTAAATACTGCGGAGTTTGCTTTAACAGAACACAGTTTATCCGAAAACAGCGTTAAACTGAAAGAAAATCAAATACCCAATTTTTTTTCTTCGCTGTTTAAACAATTTTTCTAAATGAAAACGTGGCTGAAAAGGAGAAATTCCAGCGGAAGTGCAGAATTTGGTTCAAACCGACTCCACTGTGTTGAATGAAGTCATGTCAGTGTTCCAGAGTATGCATGACACCAACTCTCACTTAGGCAGTTTGACTGTGAGTGTGTCTGTCTGCAGACGATGTCCTCTGCCTACCGTGACCAGGAGACTATGGAGAACCCTCTGTGTGTTGGCCAAAAGAGAAAAGAAACAGGTCAGTGACGGGCAGGGTTCAAACCTGCTAGGTACTCCGATAAAACCGGGGCACTCCGATTTTTTGGGGGTTGTTTTTTTTGCCTACTGTATTTGTATAAAATTTTATTTTTTCTTGATTTCCTTTTCCACTGGTCATTGGTAACTTATCGTAAATGACATGAAAGTACACAGGTGTACTTGCATTGTTTGCAAGACTTATCATTAATGATGTGAAAATACATGTGTTTATTTGCCTTATTTGACATGATCGGCCCATTGTGTAATCTCGGTGTACTGGGATTCTGGAGACTGATTTGATTTCCCAAATTCTTATTCCTGGCAGGATTTTGTGGCAAACTCTTATTTTTGGTCATGGTTTTTAGATTCTGAGGCTGAACTAAAACGGTTTGCTTTCAAGATTGGAATATTTTTACCTCTTGTTACTGCAATATGTGAATTCATCACAAAATTACGAAACATTTTGTAAGTATATTCTTTTTTGTGATTAAGTTTACTGTACAAATTGTGTACCAATCTACTTTTACAAATTTTTTCTGTTGCTTTCACTATGTTTAGTACTTGAGTATAAAAGATACTGAAGTTATTGAATGATGTGCTCCTCAGAATTGAAGGAGCCTGGTGAAGTTGAAGGAATCGTGGATGACAACAGAAAGTTCAAGCGCTCGAGGCGGGAGTCGCTGGTGGCAAATTTTGGCGCCTCGTCTCGGCCCATTCTGGAAAAGCTGGAATACAAGGCTAGTCTTCACTCCAATATCTCACAAGCAGTTTTGTGATTAAAAGCCTGCCAGAAAGAGCTGTGAATAACGTCATCTCTATTGAATTCTTTTTTCACTGCTCTTCCCAATCGTGACCCTCAGTAGGTTGATCTGACAGGTGTTGAAATTGGCGGAATATAATTTCTTTGTAGGTTTCTCATCTTCCTGGGGCTTGCTTCTTCTTGTCATTTGGCCTTATTCTGTGTTAGAGAGTCCTGACTTTGAGGCTTCCATGGATAATAGTAACAGTTGAACCTGCTTTTACAACCACCTGTTCAAGACTATAATATTTCTTGTATAAACAACCACTTCCCACTTTGTTCCCCCTTGCATAAAAAAAAAAAGTTATAATGACACTGTCAAAGATGTCCTCCTGTCTAAGACTAGGTAGCGTAAACACGGCCTCGCAGCCTTCCGATCGCGTGGTATCGGTGAAATCGGGGTAATTCCGATCGCTGTTTCTTTGCCCTTTCACTATCAAACACCAAATGTCGTACACCTTGTAAAAGTTCAGCTTTTCCTCGTTACAATGGTGTAAGTTATTTATATATCCGATTATTAGGAGCTGGAGAATGGCAGAGGAAAGCGAAGCCCCTTGGGGTCGGAATGCATTGTCGGCTGGTTCCAAAATTGATATGCGTGCATTCAAATGCTTCGCGGAACGTGGGATGATTAAATACCGTCTTTTCATTGGCAGAGAACTGTAGAGCTTTGAAGGGGCTTTCCCGTGGTATATTTTTGGCCTTTGGTGTTTAAATAGAAAGCCTTTAAAAAATAGCGTCAAAATTTTCTAAGATATTTTTTTACACGAAATATGTAAAATACAGGCTTAAAAAGGTTTCAATTAAAAGATCAGTTCATTCCCTATTAGAATAAAGTAATAAGTGTGGAATTATTTTGCATCAATCCTTCCGCGAGACTTGGAAAGCATGTGACCCCGCATGCGGGGTACACTACGATAGAGCCGACTCTTTTGCTGCGGGGGCTGGTGCGGCGCCGGCCGGCCGGGTCAACGCTCTGTGTTTTTGTCGAAATAACGACAGATAATCGTGTTTGAGGCAATAAAATACTGATTTGTAATGATCTCCCTGTCTTGAAAAAAATTAGGCTCCATGTATTTGGTATTTGTTATAGTGATTGTACTCTGTTAAAATGGAGATGTTTAGTGCAATTGGTACTCTTTTATTATCTGTCAAACATGGGGTTGTAACCAGTGACTGACTTTAACAAATTTGATCAAATTTTAAACAACTACCATTTTCTTAAAAATTGACTGAGAGGTTAAAGATGGGGTACCAAAATGCTCACTGGATATAGGCCTTTCAAATGGCACAGATAAATCTGGCATACAGCTACTTTGAAAATTTAGTTTCTTGTACCTACTAAGACAACCTCTATCTCCTCTTCTATGGGTGGCCATTATGGACATTTTGACGGTATTATTTTTTCAGGCTTGTTTCTTTACAGCCTGAAGAGTTCCATATTTCACAATTGCAATAATCTCTTTTGCAAACTTGTGCTGATATTTATTTTAATTTACTTTACACGGACACTGGTCACCATAATTTGCTTGAAAGCTACATTGACCTGCTGGCTACTACATTGACTGGAGTAGAGTTATGATGTTTTTGTTTTGTTTTTCTACCAGTTCAACGTCCAGTTCCGCGGGAAGCCCACAACGGATCTCAAGTGTCAGGCAACGATCGAGATCAAAGGAAAATCCATCCTGGACGGGTTCTGTCAGCTGGCAGACGCAGGGTATGTCAAGTTCCCCCTGCCCAAACATCTCACCACTATCACCAGCAACGCAAGGAACTCGTTCACCATTGAGGACAAGAAAAAGAACTAATGATCGTGACACTGGACGATGAGACTTTACACCATCACTTTTCTTGTTCTGGTGAAAATTCAACAAACTATTGTCTCGATAGAGAAAAATCGTTATCAGACTCTTTTGAAGAATTGTGTCAATTTTCAAAAAAATCTGAATCGACACTTTTGTGTTTATTCACAACAAACAAAATGTACTTAAATGAAATTGGAACAGTGTGAAGATTTTGCTTTAAAAAAAAAAAGAATTTGGTTTCATTGAATTTATTATAGTTGAATCCAATATGATTGAAGCTTTGTTTTATTTGAAATTTCCTCTAACAATGAAGCCACCATTGCCATAAACATTTTTAAACTTCATGTGTTTTAGACAAGTTTTACCTTTTAACCAATTTCAGCTGCATTTTTATGGTGCTTGGTTGTTTTTTTTTCAGAAAGAAGTCACATTTTACTGTGAATTTGTTTTTATTTTGCAATGGTTAAAAACCGACTACACTGAACTTCTACTTGTGAAGTATTTTTGTTTTATGTGTCAGTGATTAGGTAAGTATAATTTGCAGTATATGTATAAATGATGCAATTGTACTTTATATTTATTTATTATTTTTCATTTGGAAAGCATCTATAAAATGGTGCACAGACATTTTGCTGGTGTGTCTTTAAATTTCAGATGGTACTTGTATTAACTATAATTAGTCTTTGAAATTATAATTTCTCTTATTTTCATTTTTCTAATATGAAATACAAATGAGAGGCAAAAACGTGGGGGAGGGGGGGGGAGGATCTCTTTTCAAAATATTGATCTGGTGCTTTGACAATAGTCTAATGTTCAAAATGTTCATGTTGACAAAATATTATTTTAAAAGCTTCTAGAGAAGAAATTAGCGACTTCAATATCATTCTCATCTCAATTAACCTGCATGGAAGTGTACAAATTTCTCCAAAAATGTGTATACTGATTACTGATATAGAAATGTCTTAATTAATGAAAAAAATAAATACGTACAACCTTATTACTCTTTTTCTTTTTGCTTCGTTGAAGTCAAGAATCATCATTATGTCTTTTAACTTCTGTTTAATATGTTTGTGGTGAGCTTTGAAGTAATAATGGGTGTCAAGATGAAGAAGTCGATGGTGAGGTCAGCAAGGAGATGACCATTGAAGTGATGGTAACGATAGAAATGTTTGTTTAGATAGTGACTTAGATGATGATGATCATTTCTTTTTCCCGCCTTGGGTTCTTGTGACCTCTTGACTATTTATAGCCGCGTACCGAGAACATGGCCCGCCACGACAGCGGTATAGTGTACACATCCGCACACAAGATGGAAATAACCCGACCATTTTTTTCCCCTCTACAAAAAATTGGGCCGTGTCTGTCTCAGTGGACAAGTAGCCTTATCATCCCCTTGTACTAGGCAGTCACTTTTCGTGAAATACAAAATTCAGGGTTTTTCAAAATGATTTCACTGTGACAATGGCACATCAATGAGCCTTTTCCTTGAGGTGAGAAGTTCATCAAAATCCTGCTTCTCCATAGCAGCATGTTCTGGCCTGCTTTTTTTCTCATGAACAAAACTTGTTCATGTCTCTCACTCTCAGACTTCAACTTGTGTTATTAATAAAGTTGAACCTGCCTAAGCAGTCACCTCTGCACAGTGGCATCTTGTAATAACGACCACTGCTCTGTGACACCCATGTTTGTCTTGCATTTTTAATCTATTGTAGCGGTCTCTGGCTAAGGTGACCACGGTCAGTCATTTTTGCAATAAGTTGGCCTCAAAACATGCTCATAGCGGCCACTTGTGATAAAAGTTTTCTGACAAACCACCCTCATATATTATTGAGTATATATATTCAATCAATCCAAGGAAGCTCTCAATAGATAACAATTTTGATTGAAATGAAATTGAAATATAAATAATAGATTTTAGATCTCAAACCATCTGTTCACTTTGCCAAGTCTAGTATTTGGCTATAACTCAGACCCTGCCCAAAGCAGCTGGCGGTCTATAACTATTTTTTATCTTTATGTTGTTGGGAGACAGTTAATTTTTGTACTTGTGACTGCAGGTGTTTTTACGCCCCCATCGACACAATTCAGTGATTTAGAAGGCAGGTTTCTGACCCTGCTTGTCAGAGCCAACTCGAGCTGGGAGGGGTACAACATCCTGGCAGAAAGACAATGACTAAAAGTTCCCCCCTACTTGTAGATCTACTTGGGAATCATACTTGGATCTCTTGTATGCGACGCTGAAGTTAAGCACACAACAGCTACAGCACAGGCGCCAGTAGTGCCATATTGATATATTAGACTCAAGTGGGCCATATTGAAGACTTGGACCAGACCAATGGTTAGGTTAGAAAAGACAAAGTAAAAAAAGAAATGACACCAAGGTAGGCCCTACTCCCTAATCACCACGCATACGCATCTGAAAAAGGACTTTGTAATACTAGGAAAATTGCAGGTGCTTTGGTGGTGTTTGCTCTTTCTTCCCTATAAAAAATCTGTCCTCTCCTCCATCTTTTCTTCGTATATATTGTTACTTTCTAGTAACACCTCTAATCTTCAGTGCATATAATAAATATTTGTGCTGCAAAAGCCGTAAAACTCTTACTACAACTAATACTAAAGCACCTCCTGCTGGTGTACAGTGTGTCTTTTCATTGTGACTGAAGTGGCAATTACTAACCATAACCAGTAAGAAATAGAATAAAGAAAATTTGTAAAAATAGAAACTACAACTACAAAGGAAAAGTACACACATACCATACACCATTACTAACAGCATTGAATTGGCTCTTTAATTCCAATGTCAACTCATTCGCTACATTATTTTTTTCTCATGTCGAAACTTTAAAAAAATTTTTTAAAAATTATTTCTAATCAATTTTTTTAGCTCCGAAACAGCATACAGAGTGCATCTAAGTGTTAGATGCTTCATAATATGACAGCCTCAGGCACATCTAACATTAGTAGATAATTTGTAACAAAACAGTTAATTGTCACAGTAACTGAAACAAAAGTAAAAACACAAAGAGTAATTTTTTAATGTGAAATATTTATTACATTGAAGGTGATGATCAGTTATTTGTTTAAAAAAACGAGTACAGAACTTGGAATAAACACATCCCACAACACAGCCTACACTAGTCTCACAGACCTGCCAACTACACCGATCAAATACGAGCTCTCCCATTTTTTTTCTTCTCCTGTTGAAGAATCCCAATAGGATTTGCATATAATCTGATTTTTTTCTTTCTTGAGTTCCATTCCCCTTGGACGTATGTGACTTTGACATGAAAATACACATTTTTGTTGGCATATTTTTGCCCTATTTTTCCAACTTACCATAAATGACATGACACATTTTCTTTCGCGTTTATTAGTAATGCTCGGTTATTTGCCGTGGCTGGTTTGTTATGTAATCTGAATCTACTGGAGATTCTGATCTTATTTGTCCTTCCAAAACACTCATATTTTGAGGGAAGGTTTTGAGAAGAAAAAAAAGTTCCCATTTTTTTTTCCTATTCTGGAGTGGTTGGCAGGTCTGGTCTCAGCTCCCCTCCCCCCCCCCCCCTCCCCCGCCTTGCAACACAAAGCTGGCGCATGCACAAAAACAAAAAGTCCTGACAACAAACACAAGAATTAGAATGAGAGTATTTACAGTTCACGCGTAATATAAGTAAGCTGGATCATGGGTTTTCTGTAGAGCGACACTCACTCAAAAGACCAAAAACAACAAATCTCAATCATGGTTAGTTTTGCAGTCTCCTACCACTGCACCAAAGAGAAATGTGCAGGAAGACAGCCTAGCCTGCTCAGTTTCCACTGAATTACACTTATCTCCTCCTTTAAAATGGAGGATCTGCACCAAGGAAAAACATGTGATTTTCTTTCAAAAACAAGAAAATTAAATTCACTTTGCTTCTCCAATGACAGTGACGTTTAATGATGCTTAGGGAGCAAACCAAAGTAACTTTACTCAAATAAAAATAATAACACAAAACAAATTCAAAGTCAGATATGTTGGAGTCTGGCATTGGCCATCTAATTTGTCACCTTCAACTTCATCACTAGCCAGGAACAGCAAATAACGTCTGTTGATTTCAGTAAACTATATTAAGCGTAGCGAGTCCATCTATAACTTTTATTGCATAGAAAGCAATTCTAATGGGATATGATGGAAAGGAGCAGCTATATCGGGAGTGGAAGGTAAACATTTATCTCATGATTTTATTGGTACAAAAAGAAAACAAGGCCAAACTATTGTCTTGATAGGACCGCTGCTGAAGTATACAAATCAAATCTAGGGTGTCGGAAATAAACATGATGGTATATCAGTACAATTTGGCACTTCCATAAATAAACATAACGTTAACTCAACTGATTATTTCTCAATCAGCCCAAAAACTACCCAACAGATTAAAGTTGAGTAAGAAAGTAAGCCTTTCCTATGATAGCATTATTTATTTTGTCCTTTCACTACCTCTTGCATAGCTTTCTAATTTTTTTTTAACTGCTTCTCGCTCAAGTTACAGATGTACAGATGAATAACACAAGGAAATAAGTGGAAAGAAATAAAAAGCACCATCTTCTTAAATCTTTTTTTTAATGGTTGTTGTATACGGCACCAACATGAAGTAAATACAAAAAGCGAGCTCTAGACCAAAATGAAATCAGTCCCCTCCTCAGACTTGTAGTACGTTATAGTGTGAACATAAAACTAACAGTTCAGTCAGGCTCTCCCTCTGAACATTTATACACCTAAGAGTAAAGCGACAGGCAAACAAAAAAAATGTAATGCCTAAATACTGTACATACGTGCAAGAGATCATTTCAGCTGCTTTTTAAAAATACTTTTCTTCATTTAATCAAACTATAAGCACAGAATCTAATGAGCTAAGTCCTCAGAAAACACTCTGGTGGTACGTGGAAGAAGTGGGTTATACACACTTTCTGTTACAATTGTGACTGAGAGTAGAGGAAGTGGGCTGACGCCATCTTGGACTACAGTCAATATCTTAAATAGGAGGTAACTACAGGAAAACTTAAGTTACTCATCAGCAAACTGCAGCTTCTACACACAGCAGGCAAACATTTACAGATTCAGAAGCATGTTACAAAGTTATCTGCATAGTGACTGAAACAGAGGTGCCAGAGGTTGATGAACAGTACTCACTGTTGCTTTTATCTTGCTTTTTGTCCTAGTTCACAATGATAGATCCAAAAAGCCACAAAACAGAAATCTAGAAACTTTTAATTGCTACTCGAGTTTCTTCCACTATATATATACTCCAGAGGTACCAACTGGTTATGAAAAAAAACCTTGAACTATTTTGACCCCGTGAAAACATGAGTGTGGGGAGAAAAAATTAACAGATGATATTGTTTACTACAACTTGTATCAACAAGTCGCGCAAAATCCAGGCAATTTCAGAAATCCTGATTTTTTTTTATTCATCCCAAAAAATAATAGATCTCTGATTCGATAAGATTTGAACGAGCTTACACTGCATCAGCATCCTTCTATAAACTCAGTGGGGACCCTTGAAACATTCAAAATCACTTCCCGAATGTTATGACATGAATTTTAAAAAATACACTTACAATGTTGCTTGCAACCCTGCCATAGATAAATGAGGGTGGGGGGGACACACCCCAAAGGGATCTAAACCATTTGAGCAATAAGAACAAGAGAGAGAGGAGAGCAAGAGCCATATACAGAGCCTGGTGGAAAACGACGACAAAGACTAGAAAAGTTGGGGGCACAAACAGCAAGCACATCAACTTTACACAAAGTACACATCATGATGATATTATAGGAAGAATTAATCATAGAAATGGTAAAAAATATGCAATGGCCTGAATGTATTATATTTGTATTACACTTGTATTGGAAACAAAAATATTGCCATACATGTATGTGAACTTATCTTTTATTCTTCAAAGTTTGTATGGATACGGTACATCATAATGCGCGAGGAAAAAAAAACAACTGAATTTATTCACTGAACTGAAGGATACTAGCTGTAAAAAATACACAGAGTGAGTTCAGTTTGAAGAAAGGTATACATTAATAAAACCAAAACCCAAACAACAATGCTGAAAAAAAAAAAATTATTTGTATTCTGAGCAAGGCAAAGGGTCCACGACCGCTGGTCCCAGCCAGTCCAACAGGACGCAAATTTCATTTCCTCGAACCACCTCATGATCAGATACAGCCCAACAGCAAAATCCCACAGTACACGATTACGCACTAGGCTTTTTCTAAGTATTGTTACACTTTATATGAAACAGCTCTTTTTATTAATTGTACTCATTTGTTGATATGATTTACTAGAGATGATTTGAGAGCTGCGGGCTGTTGTTCACAGCTGACTAAATGACACGAGACACAATTACACGTTATGCTTTTTCTAAGTATTGTTACACTTTATATAAAACAGCTTTCTTATATTATTAACTATAATGATCTGATATGATTTACTACTGAGGATGATTTGAGAGGTGCAGACTGCGGTGGCTCACAGCCGACAGTGGCTGTCAACGTCACGCGGACATCGGTAATGATTATTGCACTACAAGGCATGAGGATACATTCAAGGGAACGTGATTGAGCGTGATCGAGCTCGAAGTCCATCCTGCTTGTGGCCACCCCAGCAATACAAATGCCAACTGTCCTTTTATTTGCCATATCACATTTTGTGACACGCACCTCACCAAAACTTGCCCCACTTGATGTAATGCTTTTTGTTGTTACACATCTCTGGAGCAGGGTTCGTTAACTTCATAACATTAACAAAATGTGAGGTTACAAGCCTCGACTTTTTTTTTACACACTAGAAGCCTTCGCTTTAAGAAGTGGTTCAGTTTGGCATCAGGGAGAAAACATGGGAAGATCTTTCTGAGTTTTAAAAGTAATTCCCCTTTACATGGAATTGCCATTACCTGGATCAGTGCCACAAACAGGAGAACATTCACAGTCACGCCGAGGCAACAGGATACTTGATGAGAACACTGCACTCGTCGAAAGTGACGATACTGTTGTTAAAGTATCACAAAATTTACAAAAGGGTTGTTTTGGGAGGGAAGAAGTTACATCTCAAACATTTCTTCCTTTGGCTAAAAAACAAAGATCTACACAATTATTTCTTTATCAGTCCAGGGGAATTTGACAAAGTTTCCAGTGTTAGGTGAAGCAAAAAAAAGCCAGCGTGAGACTACTCTGCGTAAAAGCTATCTGGAATTATTGGTTTTTCAAGTACTGAGCCAAAAATGTAAAATGACATTATTTCATGAAGGCAAATAAACAACCTCTGCCAGCTGAGCTATGGTCCTCAATGTTCTCTCTCTTAAACTGATGGAGTACACATCAAAACAAAACTGGCAAGAACATGTTGCAAAGAGGTTAACTGTGACTGACGAAACCAGAGAAAGAATTTTCTCACCCGAGCGCGGACAACGTGGCACAGTGGAAGCCCAGGAAGCCATTTTGGCTGCTCATCAACATTTCCCAAGAGCCGGAGGAGACAAGATTACTCAATATACACATGCCTCTAAATATCAAAACAAAATGTAAGCTGTCTCTGTTTTACTCCCATTAAATGTGTTGTTTATTTTAAAGACTGGAGTAGTTATCACCCCAAAAAAATGATAACAATAAGACCTTAAACTGTCGTACTCTAGGGTTTTCTTCACTGCGCAAAAAAAATGCCATAGCTTACGGGGTCAGGGAGCAGAAAACGGCATTAATTAGTTCCCCTGTACAGTTTGAGAATCAAACTCCACAAATGATACACACACACACACGTGGCTTCCTTTAATCTTTCAGTGTCTCTAGATAAAGGTACAAGACACCTAGCTGGCAAGAGAAAATACTCCCATGGTCCTGGGGACGTTCGCAGCAGTACACTCAGAAGAAGAGCAATCTTACGCGGTCTTGGGCAAAACTACAGCCCCTAACGTCTTACTTTAATAAGCTTGATTTCGCCAAAATTTACAATTCTGAACTAGCTTAGAAAACTAAAGGCCAAATGTACAAATTTACAGCATAAATACTTAGCTTGCGGTGAAAATTGAGAGGTATACTTTAAATATCAGAAAGAAAAAATAATTCTGAAAAAGACAAAACAGAAATATAAGATAGAGGCAAATGACGATAAAAAGCAATGAACAGATCTGGCGATATATGGGTCAGCAGGATCCAGATGTCTATGCATATATGTAAACTGATGGAGGATCGGAGCACAGCTTTATATGAGCAATACTAGAAAGGAGAAAGCAGGTTGTCTCGCAGTCGGCACTTCACAACAGTTTGCTGAGTTAATCATGGTGCACAACAAAGTCATGGCAAGAAAATCTTTCATTGCTCAACTCTTACTGGTCGGCATGTCTTCTGCTTAGATGCTGTATTATAATTATTGTTGTTTCTCGTTTTCCTCATTTATCATAAAATACTTGTTTGCCTGTACTGCACCTGTTTCCTCATACTGTATAAAAAAATATTTCTTTTCTTAGCTTTTGGGTGAGTAATACACCCTTAAAGCTTAAAAACTTTCCCTTTAAGCTGAAAATGTTCTGGATCTATAACAAGAACAACAACAACAACAACAACAACAACAACAACAACGATGACGTGCTCAAAATGCAAACCTAATCGTATGTCAAATTGAACTTGTTGCGATGAAGCAGGGAACAGGCTTACGACTTGTAAGAGTTAAGTTCCAATTCCCACGTGCTGACAAAATTGTAATTGTAATAATTCTCCACCTTCTGTGGGTCTGCAGTGATTACATAATCTTACTTAAGCCATACTTGATTACAACAGGGGTCAGTAACCTCTGCAAATACATGTCATATTCTCTACAAAATTACTGAAACCGGTATAAGGAAAAATAAATGCTTTTTTTATTGGTTTAACGAAACAACATAAGAGCCAGAGTAGAGCCGTGCCATGCAGAGAACAGAGGCAACAGTAACAGTGAATGGGCTCCGTGGAGGGCCACGTCTCGTGTCCGTACAACATGGGCACAAAAAAAACTATTGTTTAGTTCTAGTAAAAGTTTTACAGCACTTGCAACACAAAATGAGTCAAATAAGTGCTGGGGGAAAAAAAGTGACTGAAATAATACTCAGAAAAAGATGGATGAAAATACAATATCGCACGATGAGAAACACAGATGTGTCCCCCCAAAAATATTATCAAATGAAAATTAGGTTTTTTCGAAATAAAACGGATGATTCTGGTCGGCTGCAGTAGGGATGTGGTTTTGCTGCTGCTGCGGCTGCTGCTGCTCCGTCTAGAGCTGAGAGAAGATCCCTCCGGTTGTATGTATGGCCCCTCTGGTACAAGCTTACCTAGTGGAAGGCTGATGCTAAAATAACCTCTTCTTGTCTTTTTTACTGAGGAAAAGAAACAACCAAAAAAAACTCAAATTCAAACAAATGCATAAAAAAAAACCCAAACAGGTACAAAGATTACAAGGTTGCATTTGGAAAGATTTCGTTCAAAACCAGACTAATTAATATAAATCGAGCCTGCTCAACTGCCACTTGCCCAAGACCATTTCCGCCTTCGATATGACCTTTAATATTTAGAGGACTGTATAAGCTTCAACAACAAATCAATCTATTCTATTTTCCTAAAATATTTTCTCTCTGGTGAGTGTCCTGATGGGGGAGGGGCAGGGTGGGGGAAATGACGGGTTCCGCTGCAAAATGACAAGATGTTGTGGAGGCAGGGGTAACAAGAATAATAACATTAATAATAATAGCAGTTCGTCTATTAGTGTCTGAAGATAACCAATGCATCTTCAGAGGAGAATATTGCTTCAAGAGAAAAAAGAGGATTAAGACGACTTGAGGCTTCTACTACGGCCAATGAGACCGATTCTGTCAGAGAAGAGTTGGAGCTTTTAAAAGCTTCATTTCCTCAGGTGGAAGTGTGCTGTTTGCAAGCTTCTTTCTTGGCTTCAGGATTTCTAATTCATAAAGCCTCATTATGTGAAGCATTGTTGTGAAATAAAGAGCGTGTCAATATGATGAAATCGCAACAACCGAAAAATTTTTCTCCATTTTGGCAATTTTTATCGATTCTTTTTTGTTTTTGCCCCAACACCGTTTACGTCCATTTAAAAAAACATTAAATACATGGACCTTACTGAAAAACATCGATTAAAGGCATAAAAAAAGGTAAATTTGCACTTTCCGAGGACTCTCCATCTATGAAAGTCACCAGACTTTAGCGGCAATTTTACTAGGCGACTCCCACCTCCTTGAACTTGCATCGCAAATATCTCGACTTCTATTTAAGGTAGATGGGTATTTTTCCATTGAAAGCAAGGCAAATGAACAAGCTTTAAGATGATATCAATAACTCCATACGCCCAAAAATTTACTAGTGCCTGAATCCACCACGTAGTGAAACTCCAAAAACAACACGATCAATCTACACGACTTACTCTTTCTGGTTCTCCAGCGACCGTCTGCGCTCTCCCCACTGTTCCTCCCAGTTTGCCTTCTCTCGCTCAAAGTCCTTCCACTTGTCTTCCAACTCCCTCTGCTGCTGCTCCAGCCCCTTCTTCATCTGCTCTGAGCGCTTCTGGAGCTGTGGGCCAGAGAGAGAGGAAGGTTGTTTAGTTTTAGCAAGAGTTTTACAGCACTTGCAACACAATAAGGTCATATAAGTGCCGAAGATTAGAGGTGTTACAAGAGAGTAACGAACACAAAAAAGGAGGAGAGATAAGGACGATAGATGTTTGATAGAAAAAAAAGGAACAAATCACACCAGAGCACCCGCCAACCACCCACAGGAGGAAGGTTGATAAAAATAAACAAGAACATGACAGGAGAGCAAGGTGGATAGAAAAAACCAATTATGTGATCTGAGAACAAACTGTTACCAGAGAACAAAGTAAATGGAAACTTGAGGGAAACCTCCATCACATAAAGCGTCTCTGATGAGACACTGAACCAGGAAGGGGAGAGGGGGAGGGGGGGAGAGGATGACAAAATAACAATCAGCGTCATCAAGAATGAATAACAACCTTGAAAAAGCATGGATTGGACCACACAGGTGCATCCACCAACCTTCAACTTTTTAACCAACAGAGAGGTCTCATAAAAAGTAAAAAAATGACACAAAACATCCAAGGGAAGCAATGGAAACAGTTGAATTATCTACCAACCGTAACAAACATTCTAAAAATCGATACAAAAGTAGCAGCAGAAAAAACCCCAACATTTCACTTACATCTGCCTCGGAATCTTTGAGTTTCTGTCGTTTCTCCTTGACCTTCATCTCAAAGACTTGCTCCATTTCAGCCTCCATCTTCTTCATCTTGGCATTGTGCTCCTGCCTCTCCTCCGCCATTTGTGACAGGGGATCCCTGGTGACACACACACACACATGAGCACATTACTATCCCCGGTGACACACACACATAAGCACATTACTATCCCTGGTGACACACACACACACAAGCACATTACTATCCCCGGTGACACACACATACATGAGTACATTACTATCCCCGGTGACAAACACACACATGAGTACATTACTATCCCTGATGACACACACACACACATGAGTACATTACTATCCCCGGTGACACTCACACACACACACACACACATGAGTACATTACTATCCCTGGTGACACACACACACATGAGTACATTACTATCCCCGGTGACACACACACACATGAGTACATTACTATCCCCGGTGACACACACACACACATGAGTACATTACTATCCCCGGTGACACACACACACACATGAGTACATTTCTATCCCCGGTGACACACACACACACATGAGTACATTACTATCCCTGGTGACACACATACACATGAGTACATTACAATCCCTGGTAACACACCAACACATGAGTACATTACTATCCCTGGTGACACACACACACACATGAGTACATTTCTATCCCCGGTGACACACACACACACACATGAGTACATTACTATCCCTGGTGACACACATACACATGAGTACATTACTATCCCTGGTGACACACACACACATGAGTACATTACTATCCCTGGTGACACACACACACATGAGTACATTACAATCCCTGGTAACACACCAACACATGAGTACATTACTATCCCTGGTGACACAGGAACAGGCAATATAATAACACACACACACACACACACACTGCTATCTCAGGAGTGACACACAGACACACTCAAATATGTTTGTATATTTGAGTAAAGAGAGCACACCGACACTAATATTGTCATTTAGTGCAGGGAAAAAGCACGACAGACAGGAGCAACAGAGGGAAAGAAAAAAAGTAGGACCTACCAGTAGCACTCTTCAACCTCCCTCACACTCTAAATACATTACCATCAAGCAACAGAATCTAACACCAACAGCTTACACTTCGCTACCTCAAAATTACAAAGCTCTATCTGACATTTTTGGCCGCTTCGAGTTACTAAGACTATGAGATAAAAAATCAAATACTCTATCAAAATCATTAGATTATTCTGAGCCATTACTGAGATATTCAAAGAACTGCATTAAAAAAAGTTGACATTCTGTGAAGCTCAAAATTGTTCATGTCAAATTTCTCAAAACTAGGTACTGAGAAGATAGAAATTTGTAATTCTGGGTAGCAAATGTTAGACACAGTAATGTTTAGCTCCAGTTATACAGTTGGCACTGCCCAGAAAGAAAAACTGTTGAACCTAAAAAAAAAAACAGCATAAAAAAACCCGCCTAACAGAAAATCCCCTGAAGTAACACCCACCACCACGACCCCGACCAAATTGTGGCAGCTATGACACGCCCCCCCCCCCCCCCCCCCACCCGTCAAGAAATACACAAGCTCACTGATGCTGTATCAACTGGTCTGAGCAAACAACAGACGACTAAATGACTCACTTGGTCAAGGATCCAGGTTTGACTTTGTTGCCCTCGGCGGTGGACGGCGCCAGTTTGTTGTAGCGGAAGTTCTCGTAGTGGACGTTGTTGGTCACGTCCTTCAAATCTTGCATATGTGTCCTGATGTACAAACAATGACATCTCGTTTAGTTTTAGTTTGAATTTTATGGTACTTACACCACAATTATATCATATATGTGTAGAGGATTAGAGGTTTTACAGAGAGTAACATACACAAAAAAGAAGAAAAATAGGTCATACATGTGTCAAAGATTAGAAGTGTTACAAAAGAGTCACATACAAAAAAAAAAAAAAAAAAGAAAAAGGAAAATAGGTCCCATTTGAGACGAAGATTTGAGGTGCTACTAGAGAGTAACATACAAACAAAAGAAGGAGGAGAAATAAGGATGATAGATGTTTGACACCAAAAAAGGAGTAAACCACATCAGTCAGTGCACCTGCTGACCACCCACTTAGTATCTCATGGGTCATTAACAATATTCTCATTGCCGCACAACAAATGCTCACAACATCAAAGGAATGAATACCCAACCTGCAAAACTATTCTATCAGATATTGTGGATTGTGGCGAGAATTTATGACCCCTTTACTTAAAACCCAACAATCAATTAAGATGCTCCATTCTAATTGAAGTAATCAAATTGTAAAAAATGAAAATTGAAGAAACATCAATTGAAATGTTATATTTTTGCTTCAAAAAGTGGACTAACAATAAATGTGGGGAGAAAGCATCCCTCTTCCCTGCTCCAGTCTACGTACATACAATTCAAACCATCATCCCATAAACTAGTTGAAAAGAAAGAAATCATCATTTCCATTTTGCTTGTCATCTAAACCATTTCTCTGTGGTAATTTCCAGCCCTAAATCCCCCCTAACCCGTTCAAGATAACACTTAGTTAGGATAATACTAAGTTAAGATAATACTTTACTGTCCCTGAGGAAACTTTTCTGTGGCTTTACACGAATGGTATAAACACATGTAGACAAGATATTGTTTAAATTGTATACTACTTTCATAAAAAGAACTTAAATATAAACCACACAAAAAACAGACAATAAAACAAAATATCTCATCAGATACATCTCAGACTGCATGCAGGAATTTATCACTAAAAAAAAGCGCCTCAAACTCACCTGATGACCATGTTGCGGAGAGCGATGAAGTCATTGTGTTCCAGGTTCTCCACCTCTACGATGCCCCACGGGTACTGACGCCCGCGCACCCGCTTGCCGCCCACCTCAATCACACGATTGCTGCCAACCACGGCGAACGGAACTCGGTCCTGGGGATTGGTGTACAAGATTAAAGAATAAACAACAAACCATAAGCTCTTCAAATAAATAGTATTGGTTCTCAAAAACAACAATTTCTCCTGCCTATTTTCTCACATAATTTGGCAATCATCTCTTTCAGTACTAGTCTATAAACACGATATTCCTGTTTGTACTTGTTTGTTTACACTCGTCTGATAATGTAGACCTTTTTACTTTATCATAAATTTCATTACTTCAGACAGTTTGTAAATTAATATCTGTTGTCTCAAGCAGTCATGGTAAAGCAAATCATTAATACGGAGGAAAACAATACTGCAGGTTGAAAGAGTTTAAATATTTTTTAAAATAGCAACCTACTGTGGACACCTATTCAACCACTTACAGATGGAAAAGGCAGTACAAATTCACAAACACATAAATGCACATACAAACACAGAATTATTCAATTCAAATAATCATCAAAATCTCATGTTGTTGTTGAAAAAAAAACTACTGACCCGTAATCTTTTCTGAATCTTCATCTCTTCCTCATCCTCGCAGTCGGGGAATTCATAGATTCTGATCTTGTGTTGAGCTATTTCATTGAGTATCTGCAGGAAGACAAAACAAGAAATAAGAATTGTTGGAATGTTTTGGTTGGGTATTTCACACTTCACATGTCTTTATGGCAAGATCAGGAAGTTCAGTGGAGTATTAGTAAGAGTTTTACGGCACTTGCAACATAATCAGGGCATGTAAGTGCTGAAAATTAGAGGTGCTGCTAAGGAGTAACATACAAAGAAAAGAATGAGGAGAGACAAGGACAATAGACGTTTGATAGGAAAGAAGGAACAAACAACGCCAGAGCACCCACCAACGACCTACAGGATTTAGAAATAAATGTAAAGGAAAGAACAGAGGATGACATAGGTTGGGGTTTAGTTTGAAAGAAATTGTCTGACTGCCAGGTTGGTACGTGAAGAACCTAAATAGGATTTTTTGCTTCTCCTGTCAAATCTACACAGCTGGAATTAGCTGGCGTTATTGTAAGGCTGAGAACTTACTGTTTTCTTGAACTCGCGGCACTCGTCCGGTGTGAGTGTGTCGGCCTTAGCGATGAGAGGGATGATGTTCACTTTGTCGTGAAGTCGTTTCATGAACTCTACGTCCAGGGGTTTGAGGCTGGAGAGAAGAGAAAGTCCACGTCATTACTACAAGGCTCGACAGAAAAGGATTTTTTTAATGCATTTTTTAAAAATGCAGATTTTCTAATGCTGTCAACAACACAAATTTAACTTTTAGTGACTTAAATCAAATTTTGATCTGGCATGAACAACATACGCTGGGTTCACACAATCTGTGCGAGATATGAGACTCACCCAGTCACCCATGTAACGTAAGTTATGTGTTGGGTTCACACAATCTGCATGAGATACGAGACTCATCCATGAACGTCATACCTCAAGTAAACAAAATCTGTATGAGATATGAGACTCATCCATGTACATCACATGTTACGTTCACACAATCTATACGAGACTCAACCATGTACTTCATACGTCAAATTCACACAATCTATACGAGACCCAGACTCACCCGTGGCCTGTAGGAGCGATGAAGTAGAGACAACTGTGCACGCGCGTGTCTGAGCTCAGGGAGCGGTTGACGCGCGACTCAGCATTAAGGTACTCCTCGTACTTGCTGTCGATAAAGTCTGTCACTGGGGCCCAGCTGGAGGAGAGAACGGTTTTTAGTTTTTTTAACTGTAGTTATAAATATGTAGATCTACGTTTTTGAGTTTTTAAAATTATAGTTATATTAGAGTTGTAGATCTACACAACAGTGGTCATTTTGAGTAACGAAAGGGTAAGGAAAATAGATAGAAATTACTGAGAAAGAGAAAAAATATAAGATTCACCGGTGGTGCCCTCCAGCCACCTGCACAAAGTATGAGAGCCGAATGGTTTTTTACTTTTACATGGAGTTTTAGTAAAGAGAAACACATCGGCACTACAATCATTCTTTTATGTAGGGAACAAGCCAGTTTTGGTTGCAGTTTTACGGTGCTTGCAACTGCACTAGGTCATATGAGTGCGGGGAGAAGCCAGATAGACAGGCATAAGCAACAGAGAGAAGGGGTAAGTGAGACCCCCATTACAACCCTGGATGTGATGCACTTGGTATAGCAGTTAGAAATGGGGTGGATTTGCGGGAGAAGTTAGGGGTGGTGGTGATGGTGGCGGCGCCGTCCAAACTCTTCTTTAACCCTATCCATACGTCGTGTTTTACCATCGAATCCATATGACGAGGGGAACTCTGTGCCACCATTTTCCAAAGAGGAAATTTACCTGTTAATCCGATCCCTACGCTTCACATAGAAGTCTGTCAAATGATTTTTCGAGAAATACTGAAAGTTTCAAAGAGATCTTCGAACTAGAAGTATTCTAGAATGTGAAGAATACAACCCCAGGGGTACAAAATGACCCCAGGGCGTACAGATAGGGTTAACTAATGGTTGCATGTACAGAAACACTTCCTGACATACCAGTTGCTGTTGTCCACGGCGTCACCAAAGCCTGGTGTGTCCACGATGGTCAGACGCAGCTGTACGCCGTTCTCCTTGAGAGTCACCTGTGTTGTGTCCACCTGGAGAGCACAGAACATTTTTGGAAGGTTTAGTTAGCGTAAAAGTTTAACAATGTTTGCGAACAAATAGATCACAAAAGTACTGAAAATTAGAGGTTGAACCAAGGAGTAACATACAAAGAAAATAAGGTCTAGTTTTAGTAGTTATAGAGGACTTGCAATACCACAAATTAGCTCATATACATGCCGAGGGTTAGCGGTTTTACATACAAGAGAATAGCATACAAAGAAAAAAAGAAGGAGAGATAAGGACCATTGAAGTTTATTAGGAAAGAATGAGCAAGCTGCACCAGAGTACCAGCAAACCACCCATCAAGGCAAACGGTAAACTTTCCAAACTGCACCCTGGTACTACAATTGTTGCATCATGCTTCAAGACAATAACAAAACAGCTCCCTCGTCCCCCTCCATCAAGAAGACATTAAAAAAAATCACACATAAATACGGTATATCAAAAGTAAACATTCAAACACACCTATACAAACACCTATACACACACACAAACGCAAACACACTCACTCACACAAGATATACCTTATCATACTTTGGTGTTTAGTTTAGTTTAGTAGAGCTTTAATAGCGCTCGCAACTGCATAAGGTCATACGAGCGCCAAGAGGTGGATGTCGACAGAGAAGTCTATACAGGGGATCCGGCTTACACTGCTCACTCTCTAGCTTCAACAGCACAAAGTCTACTTCGACTATCAAGGCACCCCGGAAATAGCGGGTCACAAGAGAGTTTCAAACATACAAAAGTAGAGGAAAATGACGACAGTGAGTATTAGGAAAGAAACAGCAGCAGTTCCCTATAGCAGTTCAGGCACAGTTATGAGCATAACATTAATGAATCAGCCCATTTATCATTCTACTGTGTATAAGAACATTTTAATGCCCCCCTTTGGGAATGGCCTAAAGACACTTCAGTCATTAGCACCGCCCCGGGGGGTGGGGGTTACTTAAGTGTTTATATCAACGTATAAATTAAACTGGCACATCGGTACACACCATAATATGCATGTATACAAGTTTGCCACTGGAGTCCAAATTTAATAAAAGGGATCAAAATGAAAGTGTAATCGATTAATTTATCGTTAAATTGAAAGTACATGTAAACATAAACATATACGTGTACGAACACACACACACATCCATCCACACACACGCACGCAAGCACACACACACACACACACACACACACACAGGTACACTCACACACACATACACATACAAAAGACGTTGGACAAGCAAACATGCACTAATCACATGAGGACATTTAATGGAAGGCACGCCTGATAATTTTACACCGTACATGTATTCTAAAACCAGCAAATGTCGGCTTATGACGCAGACATCTCCCCCTCCGCCCCGCCTCGGGCATCCTGTGTTTATCAGCAGTGATACAGTGATTAAACAAAACACTGAGTGTGAGCGGGGTAATATACGGCCGCTCTTAGATCGTGCCCTCTCCGTGAGTATGTGGGTGGAATTTTGGAAATGGGAAAGGGAGGGGGTGCCAAGACGGAGAGTGGGGGTGCTGGGGGTTCAGAGAGGAGATGAGGGTGGAGTAG